TTTCAATATACTTAATTTATCACATCATATTAGCACTCAAATAACTAATGTTAAACTTGAAGACTTGTTCTTGTCCTCTGTAGGCTGTCAGAAACAATCATTCATCTTTCTCAATAGAGAACTGTTCTAATTTCTCTTCTTCACTGTATTTTGCAGTGTTCCAGCATCTCTAAGAAACCAGCTCAAGCCTCTGTATCTTGCTTTTGCTTAGCGGTAGGCAGCCCACAGACTACCCTAGGCCGGTTTTAGAGATACCTACTGTTTTGGCCATGCTTGACTTCTGTTCAGGGGTGAAGATTATGCTAACGTGGTTGTGGTGCTGCAGTCCTCTCTTGCTCTCTTCTTGTAGCACATCACAGTTCCGTGAGACCTTGAGCTGCTGCTAACGATGCAGGAGGATTCCCTTGGTGTTCTCATCTGAGGGGGAGCAGAGTGGATGTTCCTGCAGACTTGACTTAGTCTAAGATCTGGTCATGGGTGACTGAGGGGCTGGCCTCAAAGGTACATTGGCTCCTTCAGTCAAGCTTGTTTTCAGGGAAGAAAGATTCAGAGAAATCCCACAAATTAAAAACTTGGCTTCAAAGGGCTTGTCCATACAGAAAAAGCAGGTGAAGGAAAACAGAGGTTAAGGAAATAGAAATATAACACTAAGATAGCTGAAATTTTAGACAGCTCAACCTCCCCTAAATCTCTGGGAATTAATCACTTCCATTCTATGGTTCTGAAACACTGAAACATGGAATTGAAGTATTGGTAGCCCAGACTTTCTCATCTTTCACCTTCCATCTACGTAGGTGGAGGTGCAAAATCTGTAACGCATCCTAGCAGGAAAACAATCCAAGCAACTGTCCAACAGTCCAAGTGTGTTAGGCCAACCTGGACAGTGCACAAAGCTTTAGAACAAATTTGGAAGAAAGAATAATAAAGACAGAACGAGAATTAAGACAAAAGGCAATGTGGATCTGGCAAAGCTAGAATATGCAGGATCAATTTGGCTTGTCCTTTCAGAAATGACTTCCTAGCTCTAACCTGTCGAAGGCTCGGCAGTTTGGTGAGCTGCTTCATCACTTCTGAAATGACTGGGGCAGAGTGGCAGCTTGCAGGCTGAAGTGCATGATACCAAGAGGCACTCAGAGTCATTCAGGAACTGTTCTGCCACCTGATTCTTATCCCATGCTGCTGTGGTAAGAATCATGGGGATTATTCTCAAATCTGGTCAAATCGACAGGGACTTGAGAAAAGCATTGCACACATGATCAGGTGGGAACTGTAAGGAGGAGACAGGGATTAGTGAAAGAACTATGAGGCACCATAAAAGAAATGGGCTGAACACAGCAAAAAGCTCACAGAGGTGGAAGACTGGTAATGAGTTCTCCTAAAAGCAAAAGGGAAGTGATGCTCCAACAACTTCAGAGCAGATGTAAAGGAATGAATGAACATGGAGAATACGTCTTGCAGACAGAAACCTAAGTTTTGTCCAGATCAGCAGAACGAAGTTTAGCAGAGACAACAATGTTATCCCAGTATCAGGAGGTAGGGAAGAGACTTAATCAATCTGAAGAACACTGCTGGTGTAAGAATAGGTATTTCTAAATTGGCCATACATCAGTTGAGGCCACAACTGAGAAGACACCCAAGTATCTGAGAAATGAGGTTGTGAAAAGATGCTTCAGATGTGGTTAAATTATTGTCCACATTTCTGGTTTAAAAGATGAACTCGTGGGAATATCCCACAGCTGTCAGAGAGGGCTCTGACCCATAGCGTGTGTTTCAGCAAGCACTAGGGAATATCCCAGCCTCATTAGGCTTTTTACACATGTTCACAAGCTTTACTTGTGTGGAAGCACAATAGGGATCAAAGCCTAAAGTTTTCTCTTGAGGGGAGGAAGTGAGAGCCTAAGAACAGAAAAGGAAGATGACAAATGTCTGGAGGAAATTCCACAATGAGCCCAGCTTCCTCTACTACTGCCTCCTCCCTGCATGCTGTCTCCCAGAACCTGGAACATCAAGCACGGAGCTGGCAATGCCGGCTGCTTCCTCAGCGTCCTACTCGCTCCCTGACCCTCCCATTCTCCTGCCCACTTTCTTTTCATCTAACATCTTGCTAGGATCTTCCAGGAAGACTGAAAACTCTGCTCACATCAGCTCCGGGCTCCCTACCCTCTCTTGTCTCAAACCCAGAAACACAATAGCCTTTCCTGTAAGCCCTTTCCACCCCTGTGACCTACTCACTATCGAGTCTCACCCCTTTGACTCCTCCTAGGTCACTCCTTCGAGCCATTTATTTGATGGTGTGCGTCACAACCCTGAGCTGGCCAAAGCTTTAGAAGGGATTTTCCCAAAGAACAATAAATGTCACATACAAAATTAGTCTTTTTTTTTTCCTATTCTTAGAAAATTGTCTCATCTTTTTAAATAAAGACTAGAAATTAAAGGTTTTTTTAAACAGATCTTTGCTATCCACTGAATCTCAGCAGGATGGTTCCTTTCTACGTTTGTTGTGGGTAAGGCTGGCTTACCAAGTTGCAGCAACATCTCTGACTTCTGTTTTGGGTTTCTGGGAAGGGTCTGTCTGTCACCTTGGGAGTCTGGCTGTGTGTCTGCTCCCTGCTCCTCCCAGCAGGCTGCCAGTGCCTCGTGCCTGCGACTGGGAAGCTCAGCTTGGGCTGTCTCCATTGCAACCTGCCCCTTTCAAAAGGCTTCCTCCTGGCACAGGTTGTCCACACATTGAAGGCTGGATGCTGCTCTGTTCCTGGTAGTTCTGGTCCTCACAGCTCACAATCTATCTATATAAATGGAAAAGGTTCAGAGATAAGCAAGGAGGATCATCAAAGCTGAGATAACCATGTTATCTAGGAGACTGCAGCCCCAAAAAGCAGTGATGGGATGAAGGAGAAAAAATATATTAAAGGTCTATGAAATATGTGATTATCCTGGGAAAAGTGCATAGGACCGACACTTCAGCCTCTTTTCCAACACAAGAACAGGAGGCATCAAATTAGTAGGAGTCAGGTTCAAAAAACAAACAAAAGATCAGTCTTCACATAAGAAGTTATAAATCCTTGAACCTCCTTTTATCCTCCTCCTTGAATCCCTGAACTTCAGACTTACCAAGGAGAAACCACAGGCTTAGGAACATCCCAAGTTAAAAACTGTCAACACTTGAGAGCATACCAGAAGGAAGGATCATTAGTTTACTTTATTCAGTTCATCTCTGGACTGCTGCTTGAACCATTCTTGGAGACAGGATTTGGGCTGGCCGGACTGTTGATGTGACACCACACAGCTGCTCCCAGCGGCCAGCAGAAAGCCTTCAGGTCAGAGCAATCAGACAGTGAGCAGACAGGCTTGTCCTGGATGGGACAGCAGCCAACGTGCCACTCACTGGTGCTTCCGATGCCTTTGCCAAGACATTCTTAGAACAGCCTCTTTATTTCTACTCCAAATATACCAGGAAACATAGGTATACGCACACACAGTATATTGCCTATACCTAGCTGTCATTTTGAGGAGTTTTTAGATAGAGTGATGAGCACCACGTTCACACCATTATTTTGGATCGTTTTTGTGTTCTCCACAGTCACTTACTGCAGACACCGCAAGGCCATTTAGACACAGAAACCTGACTAGGAACAAAACAACTCCCCCATACTTTGAAACTTGCCAAGGAGCCCATTATTAATTCACTATTAATCACAAAAGATAATGAGTTAAATCAGGAAAATTCAAGTTTGATAAACACAGCTGTTTTCTGGAAAAAAAGTCATGTTACCCCATTAAAAAAAAAAAGGCAAAATTACTCTGAAACTAATGCATATGTCTTGCTGATAGTCCTGAATTCACTGTTTTCTTACCTAGCATCATCACTGTCAAGATCCAGTCTGTAGCTCCTGGAGCTGGAGGAAAGACAAGGCGAGCCCACAGAAATGCCTTTACTCACTCAGCATGGATATCTGAAACATCTAGATCACAGAATGGTTAAGGTTGGAAGGGACCTCTGGAGACCATCTAGCCCAACTCCCAGCACAAGCAGGGTCACCTGGAGCGCGTTGCACAGAATCACATCCAGGAGAATTTTGAAGATCTCCAGAGAAGGAGTCTCCACAACCTCCCTGGGCAACCTGTTGCAGTGCTGTCACCCTCACAGCAAAGAAGATTTTCCTCAGATGGACATTTCTGTGTTCCAGTTTGGGCCCGTGGCCTCTTGTCCCATCACTGGCCATTACTGAAAAGTCTGGCCCCATCCTCCTGATTCCTTAAGGTAGGAGGTGCCAGGGGCACTCCAAGCAGGGCAAACTGAAGTGCTTGGGGAGCACCAATTAATGGTACTGGTGGTGAGGTGCCACTTGCTTCATACCTGCACCGTGGGTCAGCTGAGTTACTTGTACTCACCTCACTAAGGATATGTTACCAAAAAAAAAAAAAAAAAAAAAAAAAAAAAAAAAAAAAAATCTATTTGATAATGATTTGAGGCCTGCGTTATCAAGAAATATGAGTCTCCCCAAGTTATTTGAGCTTGTCTGCTTGAAACTGGCAGAGTCCTCCCCCCCAAAAAAGAACAAGGAGAGGGAGTAATTTAGTTGACATTAAGAAGGTTTATTCTTTCATCTCTTGGCAATATCATCTACAGGCTACTAATGCTCACAGCAGAACAAAAACCTAGACTCAAACTGGATATATGATTATTTTTCCCCATGCATTGTCTGTACAATACCCTACTGCCCCCCTGACTTCTCTTTGTTTAGCACCTTCAGGAGGCTACGTGAATACAAAGGAAATCTGACTTAAAGGCAAGAGAGGAGAATAAAAGGAAAGAAACCCTCTGTTTTTCTCTTACGTCCCAGTGCATTATCAGGAGCCAAGAACTTCTGCAAAAGATGTTAAAGACGGAGGCACTGCATCAGAGAGGAGGGAACCGACTCGTACCTCTCGCTAGGAACCTACAGTACCAAAGGAAAACCACAAGTGTGTACAGTCCCACTTCAACAGACAACTCCAAATGCTGCTAAAAGAGTTTATTAAAGACTGTACTAACAGTTCCTGTAACAATGGCACATACAATGATTCAAAATCTTGACAAAGAGTGTGGAGTTCTGAAGAGCATTAGTATAATACACCATGGACAAGAACAAAGCAGATGTGCAGTCTCCGAACTCTACAAGCAGACCCGTGGAATACAGGAGTCCTATCATACAGCTGTACAAGTGTCAGAGCAAATAGAAAATAAAATACAAAAAAAAAAGGTCATTCAATACACAGTCCTTGCATTTATTGACAGTATTACAGTACTTCACAGGTAAGGGTTGGCTCATTCCAGCTGTACTTTCCAAAGTACAAGGGCAGCTGAAAACTGAGAGGGGGGAAAAAAAATAAAAATCAAGTACAATCATTACTCCAGTCCTTTCTTCTTAGGAAGCTTCAGTCAAATTCTGGCATCCCTACAATCACTTTGCTCAGGGCATCACTTCATTTTGGCAGAAAAAAAAAAAGTCTGGATGCTTCTTCACATTAGTGCAAAAAATATTTTTCAGTGGTATCATTAATAACAGGATAATGACAATCACAGCATGGCCAACAACAACTTTAATATCAGAACATAAGGGACCTGCTGGGCCTTGGCCAGTACTCGAGGACTGGGGACTCACAGAGGGGAGATGTGCTGTGCTGTCCTGAACAAGCCATCAATTCTGGGCTCGTAGTGAGGAGTGGTCTCACTACCCCGGGGAAAGAAAATGCTACAGAAAGCCTGCAAATATTAAATTATGCAAACCCACATAAAACTAACAGAACAATATTGAAGTGGAAAAAAAAAAACTTATAGCAGCCTTATTATTTGTCATTGCCCTAAAGTTGTTCCCTTCCCGACTATGTTGTCACAGTAGCCAAAGTAGGACTTGTGGAGCTTGGCAGCTTGCGGCACCCTCATGTTAATGCAAGAATCCCAGCAGCATCCAGAGATTTATATGCTCCAACACTCACTATCTAATCACAATAGCAGGGCAGCTGCAAACTGATCCTGGCACGTGGCATTTGCAGCCTTTGGCTACAAGATCTTAGGCCCCTCTGCACTTGTCCCACTGGTCTTGCCCACGCTCACAGCAGCACATCCATGGTCATACATTCATTTGGTGTGCATCTTCAAAGCAACACACAACTACTTTAAGGAGACGCTGCAGTGTCTGTGTTATCACATTGGGGCACCGGAATAATCTGTGCAAGAACATCCCTTGGCAGATCCACAGTATATGAATTCAGGGAGGAACAACTGCTTTGCCAAAACCCCAAATCATTGTTCTCCTCCCAGCTTCCATGTAGTGGCTTTGTATTGTAGTGTGATTATGTGGAACCTTTTCAACATCTGCCAACTTCAGAGGATAAAATCACAGTGCTGCGTATCAACAAAACCCAGCATACCCAGCCGCCGGTATAAAATAATGTATGTACACAAAGCAAAATTTGCATCTTAAATAAAAAGAGATTGTCTCGTTCTCTATAGTGTCTTATCCAGCTACTAGAAAATAAATAACTCACATCAGATTGATGGACTTGTTTCCTGTACAGCACACGTGCGCTATCGGAGCTGACAAAGACAACATGAAAAAAACCTTTCGTAATTAATAAGAGAGAATTGCTGAACACTTGCACATATTGGCACAAGGCAGAAGAGGAGAGGGAACGTTACACAGCTCAGCTCAGGTCCCTTCCTCCGTGGAACGAGATTCCGATTTCAACTTCACAAACTCCCTGGCCACTTCATCGTTGGTTCTTTGAGAGAGAATCCGCAGGACCGTGAGTCCAGTTTCATCCATGTGGATCCTGCGCCCGAGCGGGCACCAGCAGGCACAGCTCCCCTTGTCCGCTATGTCTCTGAGCTGCATCACTGCTATGCCCAGCACCCGGTCCTCCCGAGCAAAGCAGTAGTCCTTCACGCACACTTGGAGCTCGTACGCATCGGGGCCATCCTCGTTCCCCAGTATGCTGAAAAACACACATTGGTTTGTTCACAGCTTCAGCAGAATACACCGATTTCCCTGCAAAAAGGTGTCAGCGGCTGCCTAGGCTTCTAGGGGAGCCACAGAAAACTCCTTTCTACAAAAAACACCTCCACAAAAATCCAAGTTTTGGCAGGTGGGTAAGGGGAGGAAGACCATAGTTAGAGAAGGAGAAATGAAATATAAGATATGGGCATTTTTGCTTTTTCATGGCTGATAAAGACAACCTGGATATTTAAAAAGTCAACAGTGCTTTTCAGCTTGCCTTTGCATGTGCTTTTGTGCTAAACTGTGAAAGGAGAGAAGCAGAGAACATTAAAGCCATGCTAATCGTATTTTCAAGTCAAATAACTCGGAACATTTCTGCTTGTGCTAAAGATTGCTTCACTTCAGTAATTAATATTTTAATTCAATGATTTCGGTAATTAATATTTTAATTAGATGAAGTCTTTGCTAAAGATTCAGACCATCCATTAAAGCAAGAGCTAATAAAATTAAACCACCCATCTTTCTGATACCTCTACAGAGAGAAAGGCACGAAAACCTTTTCAGTTAAGGAAGCCCGTCAGATCTTTCTTCCCATCAAGGCAATAAAAAGTTATATGGATAGTCCCTCTCTTCCAAGATGTTTATAAGCTTTTGCTGGTCATCATTACTCCTCTCATTCTTACTGTACAGTTACTGTACAATGTTCTTACTGAACACTGGCCTGTAGCTCCTTTCATTGAGCCTTCCAAGAAGGAAGATGCCTTGCAAGAATGAAAGCCAAATAGGAAGAGGTCAATATTCAGTGTTTAGAAAGGCTGTAATTGCAGCCACATAAACACTACTAAATCCAAGGGCTGTATCCTTGCAAACAGACTCAGAAAGCACGTCCTGCAGGTCAGAGCAAGACAGAAACAAATATTTAGTTTATAAAAACAAATCCAAAATACACAATGAACTTTTAGCCTCAACCTTACAAACAAAAGATATCAAGTTCATTAAAATGATGGAGCACAGTGAAATACGTTGACAGGATACCCAGCGTGTTTCAGAAAGTAGTCAAAGGACACTGCTGATAACATCTCATCCACAGCAAAAACTCCCATATTCTAGATTTTCTGGCCAGGACACCAAACGCGGGGCCAAGCTGCTGGCTTGAGCGGCCCTTTCAGTGCTGGCCAAGCTGTTCACTGAACTGGAGGGTCCCTCAGCATCCCCACCCTCCAGGTCAGGTCTTTGGGCTGTTTTTCATACTTACAAGTGAAAAGTTTCATTGTACTTGGGGGCCCAGTTGTTGCTCTTGGACTTGGTCGTGAACTTCCTCTTCTTGTCACTCTGATGGGGGCCGATCATGGTGATCTCAATGAAGGGACGGAACATGCCGGATGTCTGCCACTTGAGGTCGTTGGCCGCCACAACTGCCAGAGAGAGTCAGAACCTGCTTTCCAGTAAAAGCTCATTTGGCCCCGTCACTCCGGGCACCTGCCCAGCTCCTGTCAACTCGCAATTCCCTGGTCCAGAGGACAAAGTTCACTCTGAAACACGCGAGTGTCTCCATACACACGGGCAGGGCTGCCTTGTATTAACACGACAGGCTTTTATGCTCCCGTTTATAGTTCCTTAAAGGAAATTTAATGTTTGAGACAGAACTTAGCTTTTACTATATGCAGATACCAAAAAAACATTCAGAGAAACAGTAATTTGCACAGCTCCATGCAGGTTGGCCCGCCAGTTCTGTGCTTGACGCTAGCTCAGCTGCGCAATGAGGAAAAAAATAAGGCACCTGGGGCCTGATACAAAAGTCTGTTAAAAGGCAAAAATGACATTGCAGATAAGACCAGCAAGTCATATACCCTGTGGATTCTTCCAGAAAGCTTTGGAAACCCCCAAATTATTAGCTCTTGAATCCTCATCCACTCCCAGGTTACTGCAAGGGAAGACTGAAGTGGAGAGTATCTATAAAAGCCACTTTTTACATTACAGTTTAGATTCACCCTGGAGAAGAGAGCCTTGAAGAGCTGTTTTTTTTTATATATATATATATATAAAAATATTTATATATATATATATATATATAAATAAATATATATATATATATATTCAGAGAAGATTAAGCTAAGTAGGCTATAGGCAAGCAAGGGAGACCAAAGAGGAAGAGGAAGCCTGGGATAAATCACTGCTCGGGCTATTTTCAGATGGGCTCTTCAGGGACCAGCTTGGCCTTCAAGCCAGAGAGCAGCCTCTGAACTCACAGAATCACAGGATATTCAAGGTTGGAAGGGACCTCTAGAGATCATCCAGTCCAACCTTCCAAGCAGCTCTGCAAGGCCATGACTCCTGCTGAGCTGTTTTGCAGGTCTGCTCTGCCTTGCTGCCCTGTGCTTTGCATCATGTGCTCAACTCCGGGGCCTGGGCAGAGCTGCCATCTGATTTTTGTTTGCTTCCTCTATCTCTGCCAATAAACAACAGGAGAGCCTATTGCCACATCACTGCCCGGGCGTCACAAGCTCCATTGTTGTTTCTCTACATCTTCCTGTTGTGAAATAGGAAAGATCATTCTAAATTTTCATGGTTTAGCCTCAAAATGCAATGACTTCCAAAACTGGAAATCTGCCTCGACGCAACCACAAACACTGAGCAGTAATGCAAGACTTTCTCATCTTTCTCATACCTTTCACGGTGACCTTGTGTTCTCCAGTTCCTGGATGTGTATATAAGTCGATCTGTATGGACACTTCTCCCACAGGATCATCCACACCAGATCCTGTTGGAAGAAAATCCACACCCCCCACAAACATACACAGATTAGGGGTGTTTTTGGCACCTCCTTTGGTTTATGGTCTCGGCAAGCCACTATCCTTGTGACAGTGCACTTGCCATAACAAGCTGTTCAGACAAACGAACATCAGGCTTGCATGCCCAACCTGAATGAAACAGTAAAAATTACATCCTGGTGAGAATACTAGGAAGGAAAAATTAAAGGAGACCTAAAATTCAACGACAGACCCAGAAAATAAGGATTGTTTTAGAAGTTCCTCTCAAGCTGTTGAATATACATGCAGGCATTCCAGTGCTGGGCAGCAGCATTCCTCTAATCTCATGGATTGTGTGCTTGGTGGTGGGGGGGGAAAACAAAGAGGAAGTTAAAAAAAAAAGGGACAAAGATGATAGTGATTTGCAGCGAGCCATAATGCAGCCTCACCCTCCAAAAAGCTTCCAACTTGTATTTCAGATACATGTTTTTGTACTGTTTTCCATCAGAGCATAATGGGAATCCCTTAACTGAGGTTGCCATCAAAGCAAGTGTTCACAACGTGTGTGCCTACCTGCCTTCATCAACTGGCCAGGAGAAAACAAGAGGTAGTTTCACAGAGGAAAAGGCAACAGTTACAAGAGAAGATCGCATTAGCCTTAAAATTCTTGCCTTAGGATGCATGCAACTTTTCCACTTTTAATTGGAATTACTATGCAGTACAGGAAAGGATACTTATCTGGTTAGAAAAATCAAGATTTCATGTAAACTAAAGAACGGGACTCCTTAGTCAAATGAAAATAAAGTTCTTTGATAAGTGGACTTATTTAACATTCCTTTTAATAACTACTTGACCTCAGGTTAGCAATTAGTGATGCATTTGTAATTGGGATTCAGAATAATGGGATACCTATAGATAAAAGGGCTATTTTGTCAATTTTGAGGCTAAAAAATATCATGAAGTGAAAAAGCTGATGTAATTGATTGAACTTCATGATAAAGAGCTTGATGCATCTCATTAAATGAAACAAATAATAATATTTTGATTAGAAAGGTCTAACATTAACTTTTACAAGAACAAACGGCAGGGAGCAAACCGCTTTTCAAGAAGATGACAATCTGTGCAATTTTCTGAAGAGTTCATTACATGGCACAGAAAAACTGTATACAAAGTCATATTAATATGCAAGTAAAAATACATGAGCAACAATAATAGAACTTGATTATTATCTTAGAATAGATACTGATTCTTGACCGAGGTAAAACAGAGTCTTTAGGCTCTAATATTTGGATATTATCATTCATGTATTTTTTTTGTTCATTTTGAATTTTCTTTTCTGTACATAAGAATAATGTTAAAATGAGAGGGCTTGGCTTTTTTTTTAACCTAACCCACTCACTCATTTTGTCGTTGGGTCTTTGTTTTACTGAACTGTAAGGGTGATACACGTCACGGGCTAAATGGCTATAAATGAGACACGGATGCTTCAGGAGCCACGGCAGAACTGGCCCGTTACCTTTGAGGGAGACAAGTTTAGATTGGGAATTCCCACCTTCCCTTTTGTCTTTCTGATACAGGTATCATGTTGTATTAACTGACATGCTCTCAGATTAAAAACCAAACAAAACACTTAATAGCTGTAGACAGCCAGAGCAAACACTCTGGTCAATTATAACTATGTACATATATATGCTTAAATATACAGTGAGAAGCAGATTGTAACCTAGGCATGGAAATCTCCTTGGCCAGGCAACACCGGAGGGTGAGACTGCAGAGCAAGCCCGTGCAATGCCTTACAGACATATTTGATCAAATAACCACAATAATAACCAAATGATGACCAAAATGGTTTGGACAGCACCACATGAGAGATGAAACACAAGACTGAAGTTTATTCTCTTCTGCTGAGCACCCAGCCTTCCTGCTCCCCTCCCACCAAAGCCAGATGTTTCAAGCTCAGCCATAACTTTGAGTGCACATCAGACCTTTCCATGTACCAGAGTGGCCAACCTGCCGTGGCAGAACATGCACATGCAAGTCTGAGACTTGAAACACAGCAAAACACAGCCCACCATAGAGGAACGAGTCTGTAGCATCTTTCAAAAGAAAGAACAGTCCATTTTTAGGACGGCTTTCACTTCCCCTGAACAAGTGCCAAGCTTCGGGACAGGCTCTCAGGCAGACTTCTCCCACATGGCTCTATCTATAGGGTGCAAGCAGTCTGCTCCTGCAGGGAACCGCGGGAATGGGATCTCTGGGAAAGGTTTCCGAGCACGGACAAGGTGAATTTAAAAGCAAGGCAAGTTTGCAACTGGCTAATGTTGTTATGGAAACAACATTAGCCTTGAACATACCCTTATCAGGAAGAACGTCCTCATTAGCGGTAAACCTAATACCTTTCCCGTCATGCACTGAGAGATGAATGCAAAAGGCAAGAGGCAGGCAGGATAAAGAGAGAAGAGCAGGAATTACAATCCCATTAGTGGTGACACGCATATACAACAAATATCACAGCTCCTGATAGACCAAATCATCTCTTAGATCTTCTGCACAACACAGGCTTCGCAGAGCAAAGGGCCCTGTGTACGGGATTGTCCAGGTTAAAGAGAATTTGTGCTGCCATAACGAAACTGCAGGACTTGATCCAACATTGTGCCACAGAAGCCTGCCTGGAAAATAACCTCCCAAGCCAAAGACACAACAGCTCCTAGCAGTCCTCCCACAGGCCTCGGGGAAGCTTCACCTCTGCAAAGAAGTCAGAGCTCTGCAAAGCCAAGGGCAGCTCTGAACACGAGCACTGCTCCTGCTGCCCCACCAAGGCACACACACATCTCCAAGTCACTGCACGCTCTGGGGCTGCTTGGAAGTGCAGGGCAAACCACATCTGCCTTTTCTAGCCCCAAACCTACAAGCCAGTTGTGCCTCTTTCAGATACACCTGAGCCTACAGGCAGTAGGTAGCTCAAGCCCTGAAACTTCTTCCCTGACAATGTAGGAGATATGAAGTAGGACCCACCAAACGCAGCACCTGGCCCCAAAGGGTCTCTGATAAGCTCCTTTACAAAGAAATGCCACCAGTCACCTTTGAGGCATAACTGGCTAACTCACAAAGAGTGCATCTTATATGCTAAAGCTTGGGTTTAACTCCAGTCCCTTGTGGATGTAGCAGTGTTTGACCTTCCTGGCCACTGGATGTCATCATTGCTCTGCTGGGACATGCAGCCATAAGACTTATCTCTCAAATTCAGGTACCATCCTTTAGTCAGGTATTTATATTTGGGATGGAAACAGGACTCCAAGCAAAAAGGTGGCAGAAACACACACCCATGGGGTCTGAAGACTTTTGCTGTGGTCACTCCATTGCCCAGCCCCAAGACTTGTATTTAACAGCCTGAAATCTTAAATCACCACTTTCTGTTTTCTACCTACTATAACAACATTTGCATCCTCTCCTGAGATCAGCAAGATTAAGAGTCTGCCAGTGAAGGTCCCTGACTCCAACAAAATTATTCTGTGCAAGAATCCAGAGATGTTTCCATGAAAACAATGGAAGATAGGGACAATTCATTATTTACCATTTTCACATCAGTGAAACAGCCCTCTGGCTTCTCGGAGAGCTACCATACTCCAGTGACCCATCCCAGCAGCTTACAAAATGTTTCCATAGTGAATATTTTCTTTCAATACTTAAGATAGGTAATCAGTTAGCTAGTGTCCTATCCTGGATGCACCCAAAACAGGGCTTGATTACACTCTCTGAAGACTGTTCCCTTTCAAGGCAGCATGCAGCCCTGTGACTCACAGCACTGCTGTCCATCAGCATCAGTCCGAGCTGCATGAACTGCTGGAAACTGGCCGGTGACATCCGCAACAACTAGTTTTTGCAGTGGGGTTTTGCTGAAATCATCTCCCACAGCACTGTGCAAGTCTCAGTACAATAACTTCAAATGTCTAAGTCACTCACCCACGTTAATTCATGAAACGTGACTTAAATGAGGAAAAAAAGACCACGCAATCCTCAGGATTTATACACTTCATATACTCCCATGCTCTCAAAATGTAAATGGCGAGCAGGAAATAATCCCTTTTTCCTCCTTCCCAGTTTCAAAAGCTCTCGACTGTCACATTTCTAGAAACGTTACTGCCAAAAGCATTTCAGCCTGGCAGAACGAGGCAGAGCAATTACGAACACGGCAGTTAGCTCCATTCAACTTTGCCAACAGCAGGGAGAGAGGCTTACCCTGAGCTGTCTGAGTCTGGACAAAGGTTTTGATGAGGGTGTCTGTGGTCTGCGTGTAGAGAGAGAGCGCATACCGCAGGGACTGCAGGTCCGGACTTTTCTCCAAGAAGGTTTTCTTCAGACCATTCCCACCAGCATGGAAATATTGCTAAGAGTTAAGCACAAACAAAACGCACACAAAAAAGAAAGGAGGAAGAAGGTTAAAGAACTGCAATCTCCACTTAGTGGGATGTTTTGCAGATAGAAGAGCAAAATATGACCAAAAAATTAGCTTCTACACTGGAAATCCCTATCTTAGATCCGCTAATACTGCTCACTCACAGCTTTCTTCTCCCCAGACTCTTAAATATAAATATGCTGGCTCCAAGCATGGGCCAGTTACTTGAATCTCTTCAGGTTTACACAAACGTGGCAATAGGGCTCACTTGGTGCCTTTATTGCTGAAACAGCAGCAACAAATTGCTGAACTGGGACAGGCACTATCCTCCCAACCAGTATTTGGGGACAGAGCAAGGGAAGGACAGAGACAGAAGTGGAACCACTTACTTTGATAGTATCCAGTGCAAGATCCAAAACTGCACACTGCTTTGGAGTGAGACTTCTAGTTTCTTCTCTCACCATATGGTCCTGCAAACAATTATATGCGATATCTTTATGCTGTTGCCAGCGTCACATCTTTCTCTGGATTCATGCTCTGGCTACAGGGCAACAGTGTTAATTCAGCTGCTTAAGGAACGCTTAAGAGGCTTTCAGAGCCATCATTTATTACACCTGAACGGGAAAACAAACAATTCCTCTGCTTTTTGTAGGCAAAGAGAAAAATACAGAAAGGAACTGGTCAAAAAATAACAGATGACATTTTTAAAATCACAGTTTGTCACTCAGGAAACCCAGAGAGGTGCCTGTCTGCCATGTCTGTCATCCACAACAGAGCCCTCAGAACATCGTTCAAAGCATCCGATTCTGTGAACCACAAATTAGACAAAATTGTTTGATGTTTTTGCAGATTTCATTCCTCCTTCTACAAAAGTCACTACTTTGTCACATCATTAGTGTGATGGGGAAGAAAAAAATGGACAAACAACAAGCTCTAGAAAATACTTTTGCGAAGAGAAAAAGATGGTCCCTTTCAAACTCAGCACCTCTCACTACCAAAGAGGCAGGTAGCCTTTGGGAAGCTTCTCTTTCTTGCAGCTGGAGCATACTGTCATCAGATACCCACCACGCCACAAGGATGCTTCATCCTTGGGGATTTCACTGACCAACCTGGTGCTGAGTCTAGGTCTTCAGATGTAGGTTTGCACAGACCCAGACTAACTGAGCTGCTTGAAGGCTGCAGCCCAGGCACAGAGATATCTGTGAAGCAGCAGCAGGAAAATCAGACACAGGCTATTGATGGCTGCTATACATGGGGCATAGCCCCTGACAAGAGACACTTTCCAGGGGAAACATCCACTAAATTATCTTCAAGTGAAGTATGCCCGGCTAGTTCAGGGTGCACTCCTCACTGACGGGCCTGCTGGCTGTCTTGTGGCCTGCATCGTTTGAGCTTGTTCCACTTGTTATCTCTCAGGATCCAGCTCCTCCAGCCTGATGGCGATGAGGCTTCCTGCAGCCTGGGAGCAGCGCTAGGCAAACCAGCTCCTCAGAGACCTCTGGCAAGTATCTTTACACAGTGCTGCATTAAAACCTACAGAAATAGCTGCTCAGGCCAGCAGCGCTTCAGACAAGTTTGCACTGTGCTTCCTTGAGCTATATAGGCATGGCTTAACTCTTCTTTCCTCCACTCTTACTGCTCCTGCTCGGGGAAGCTCACTGCACACGATTCTGCTGGCTGGACAGTGTCTTCTGTTGTGACAAGCTTTCCTTCGGGAAGCAACAGCTCTCCTCTCTCTTTGCATGAGCAGGGAGTAACTCAGTTGAAGATGATGTGGCTTCACACTTCAGCACACAGAGGGCAAGCCATTCTTTCTCGGTCTGCCAGTCTGAGATTAAGCACCACAATCAGCCAGAGCCCAAGGCCACGTTCATGGAGACAACTATTTAGTCAGGGTAGCCGTGACCTGCAGGCAGAGCCACTTTCACGTCTGCTGGAACAACTTGCTCCATCTGCCAGCCAGATCCCCCTTGCTGCAACAGAAACCGGGTCAGTATTTCTCTCCTGAACACAAGAACAGCTCATTCACCCCCCAAGCTGAGCTGTCACCAGCCTGTCTGTGTCCACGCTGTGACAGCAGAGCAAAGCGTCACTGCTTCCTCACAGAGTCTCCTGGTACCATTCACTTCAACACCTCATGTAAAAATAGCCAAGTGACTGGACTGGTAATGCTGGCACCTACACCCAGAGGAGCCCACGACTGCCCTGCTCCTGCCCTCTGCTCATCCCACACACTGTTCCCAAAAAGGGCTGCACCCTGTGCTTCCCAGATTGTGAGCCAGGAACAAGCTACAAATACTTCCATCAAATAAATAATTACGTAACTTCGAGCAGACAAAGTCAAAATCTTTTCCTGGTCTCACATATTCATTCTTACAGGCTACAGAGGTGCTCTTGGAAAAAAAAAACTTTGCAATTAGATCCTGGATGGTTTTTCCAGAAAGAGCGCAAGGAAGAACATGTGCCTGCTCCCCTCATTCCAGCTCCTGGCTCCACAGGACAGACAGCAGCAACAGCCCAGTTTTACTTAAGCAAACCAAGCAGCCAGGGTTTGACAATAAACAGGAGACCAATACATGCCACCCAAGTGCCACTTTCAGGGGTGGCTTTCCCAGCATTTTAAAAGACTTTTGCAATTGCAAAATTGACTAGTCACCAGGACTAACGCCTATGCTCAGCAGGTCTGTCAGTCTCAGATGTTCGGTCGAGTTATCTGACTCACTAGGGCCCTTTCCCTCCTGTTTTAAAACAAATAGAGGCTTAAAATGCATGCTGTAATTTTTCCAGATTTTCACCTGTAGAAAGCACAGGAGAGGGGCCCTGAAGAGCTAGACATTTAGACTCTTCCTGCTAGCTTGTATATCCCATTGCAAAAGGGCAAGAAATCCATGACATTTATACAAACACAAACAATTTACACTCCTGTAACACCTTTATTCTTCTGGGAGATCTCATTTGGACGCTGTGCTGGTTCACACCATCCGCCTGAAGTGGAAGTCTCCAGAACACAAGTGGCCAAGTGCATTCACGCTTGGGTACAGCTCACTCGCCACATACAAAATCCCACGTATCTGCACTGCTGCAGTTTTTTTTTATATATATATATATATGTATATATATATATATATCTCACCAAGCCTTGACTGATTTGCATGATTCTGTGTATTTCTAAAGCATGCAGTTACCACAGATGGACCTCATAGAAGTGAGCTGGGAATTCTCTGTTGCTGAGGGGTGGCCTTTATCTGACCAGTGCAAATGGACACAGGTAGAGCTTCCAGCTCATTATTGATAAGAGGCTTCTTCATTACTTTCAGACTTTCCAGTAAATGGAAAATATGGAGGGAGTAAAAGATAACAGTGAATGTCATTGACTACGTCCAGAAATCCAGGGATTTTACAGCAGCTGAAGTCGTCTGTACACAGACCATTACCCCTTGTAACCCGGAAAGAGTAATGGAGCAAATTCACAGAGCTCTCCCTCTTTGATGCTAGAAGGGCATGGAGAGAACAGTGGTGACTCTTCCACCTCCAAATGTCAAGTACTCGTAATTGCTTTCGAATGTGGGAAAGAAAATAGCCAGGAAAGGGGGTCATTTGAGTACTGTGGCCCTACTCCTGCTCTCCCAGTCTGGCTATAAAGCTCCTCTCTCCTCATTTCTCCCCAAAGTCTCCGCAGAAGCCACATGGAGCATTATAAATGGAGGGATCTTTGAGGTGGCACATTCCTCTGGAGCCACCACGTCAGCAGAGAGGCCAGCCTGGCTAGGGAAGCACATGGGAATCCTCCAGCACAAGCAACCAGAGGAGACGCCTATTTCCCGTGGGAGCCACATTGGACATGATTATGTTGTCGCTGTTAACAGTTCTATTACAGTCTTAAAATGCAACTGCAGAAAAGAACGTACATCTAATGAAAGCATCTGCATATTCAGATTACTACTAGGATTTCTAATAAGTACATTAATAATAAGTCAATCATAAACATGTATATGTAAAATGTGTCTGCCAAACAAGGGAACTAGATAGCAGTGTAAGGCAACTGTAGTAAGTGCATGAGACAAAAGGATGTCATGGGAAAAGACAGATGTATTTTGCAATTGCACTAATCACTTAGGAGAACACCCTTTGCCATGGGAATTCCTGACACCCTCTTCCTGGGCAGCATTCACCCTGGTCCTCCTTCCAGCATCATTTGTGCCTTGTGACTCTTGCGATTTAAACTTCTTCCCACAAACGATGCATTTTGCAGCACAATGAGCCACAGCAATTTGAATGTTGTAAGGCATCACTATTTCCATGCCACTGCTGTCGTGAGCAGCGAGTTAGAGCTTGATTGGCTTGCGAGGAGGTGGCGTGCACTTGGGAACGCTCGTGTCCTGCACCGCCACGTCACGCGCTGTCAAAACACGTCAGCAGAGCCTTCGTGCTGAGCACCAGCTTGCTTGTAAAGAGAGCCCACACACACCAGGAATTCACAGACACAGCCTCTTCTCCAGAAGTAACAGTTATTTTTGTAACAGTGCATCTAATTCCCTCATCCATAGGTAGCAAAATAGACTTTTCTACTGCTTTCTCATTATCGGGAGCACTAGTAGTGACTTCTACAAATGGATGACACAAGGGACTCCCTTTTACACAAGGGGATGCAGAGGCATTGGCCAGATATTGAGACCTTTACTTTCTCATTTTAAAGTGATATAAAATAAATGATTGCTACTTCTACTGAATATATAAAGCCCTCAGTTGGTTAGATCTAGGGGGAAACTGAACAGTTAATTTAAGCACAATATTAACGTTAGCAGCATTTCTAAGCACACATTCTCTGTAATTAAATACAGCCACAAGCCACTGGAAGCACAAGACACATTACGTACTATTACAGTCATGCCTACACACAAGCACGTAGACACAAGCCATGCACAACAACAATACCTTCAACTTCGACAAGTGTCCCAGTTCCTTAGCGGCACTGAAAATCAACTGTGTACCCTATGATTGCAAGTTACAAAAGAAAAAAAGGGAAAATAAAGGTCAAGTGAGCTCTGCATCTTTTTGCTTTGAACATGGCAAATCGTTTCACAAATACAACAACTTTACATAAGAACCCCCAACGCCAGTCACAGTAACTTAACTCATTACCTAGTGAAAAACCTAGCATTTCACAGAACTGTGGAACGACTGAGGTTGGAAGAGACTTCTGGAGACCATCTAGACCAACCTCCTGCACAAGCCGGGTTGCCTAGAGCACTTGCACAGGATAGTGTCCAGGTGGGGTTTGAATATGTCCAGAGAAAGAGACTCTACAACCTCTCTACGCACCTTGCTCCATCGCTGTGTTACCCTCACAGTCAAGAAGTTTTTCTCATGTTCAGATGGACCTGCCTGTGTTGCAGTTTGGGCCTATTGCCTCTTGTTCTATCGCTCGCCACTATTGAAAAGAATCTGTCCCCATGCTCTCTACACTGATACGATCCTCCTCCAGTCTTCTCCAGGCTCTCTCTCAGCCCTTCAGTATAAAGGGTGCTCTAGTCCCTTAATCCTCTAGGCAGCTGGACTTGTGCCACGTCTCTGGACACAGCACTCCAGATGTGCCCTCACCAGGGCTCAGCAGACAGGAAGGATCAGCTCCCTCAACCCGCTGCACGTGGCTATCTAACAGGCCAACATGCAACGTTGGCCTGTTGCGAATTTCTGAGTATTCCACATTCAGACCTATTTCAGATCACAATATTCTGCTAATTGGCTTGTTCTGGCTCACAGATGTCACCATTTAAATAAGATTGCCCCTTCAAAAGGGTTGCACAGACTGGGTGTGAGGATGTCCTATCGGTTCACCTGCAAGTGGTCCTCGGTATTTCAAGTCAAGTCTAGATACGCATGAACACACTGGTTCTATAAGACTGGACAAAGCTGACACCACCCAGCTGATGGCAACCTGCCTACATATTGAGTCAGGAACTGCACCTGAGCAGTCCCCAGGACAGGCTGGCAAACTAACTCCAGTGCACATTGCTTCTTATGTGGCAACTTTTTCCTAACTCAAAACCCTTGGCAGCGGCTCTTCTTCCACACTAAGTCTTACTGATGCTCTACGACCAAAGAGGGGCGTGTTGAGGAAGATGAACCCCAGTGGCAGGAAATCTTGCTTCGAGCAGCCTGCACTCCAGCAGAATGGATCTTTACACACACTCCCTACAACGATGATAAAGATACTTTTCCCTTTCCCCATCACATCATTTCTCTGTTGCATAATACTCCTTTTTGCCTAGGGACTCAAGCCCGAAGTTAAATTAGAAAGATCAAAGCAACTGATACAGATCTCCAGCCTCTCCTCCCACAGATGCTTTATGGGGTATGCTGGAATTTATTTTTTTTCCCCTTCACTCTATTCTTGCCATTCATCTGTTCTTGTCTTTTTCTTTTAACTGTCACAAGTGCCTGTTATTCCACTCAAAATAAAATCACAGCCTGCTGTAATTTTGGCTGCGAATGGCACATCTATCACTTCATGAAACTTCTCTCCAGTCCTCTGGTGTCCAGACTGGGCCAGGTTTGGGCTACAGGACCAAGGCATATAGCTCTAGACAACCACTCCTCTCCTGTGGTATCACTACCATCATTTTTTTTTTCTCTTTAGGAACATCATTAGGACAACGTCAGGAGAGCTGTCCTCTCAAAGATGATTTTTAGCTCTTGTGACTTGTAATAAATTGTTAGAGGCTAGTGTTAAAAGCATGTGGAAATGCCATCACAGCTACCAGTTGGGAAGGGTTTGGGAAGGCCAAGCTTGTAAGCTTTCAGAGACAGACATGCTGGTGGGTGGCATTTCCTAGTACGGCCCTTCCTCAGGTAAAGAAGGGGCTTGGGAAGAAGGATCACTCAGGATCCCTTGGGAGCTGATCCTCTTTTGGGATCCTGGCTCCACAAGGGCCACATTTCCCTGAAAGTCTCCAGTGAATCCAAAGCACAGACCCCTTGGTCAAGCATGGATCCTTTGCACAGCCCTCCCCTCTCACCTACTACTCTCCCTTATCTCAAAGTCCTTCACATTGCTACTTAACCACGACTGCCATGAATAATCCCTCCTAAATCAGTCAAAAAAAGTATGAAATAACATCAAAATCACTGAACTGTCCATCGCTCCTACCTATGGCAGTCACTATTTCATTTCGGTTTCAGTTCTTGGTCATTTGCTGCTTTTAAGTCAGCACTCCGTGGGCAGGAGCTACACCACACATGTATTTGCACAGGTTAAATGATCATCATCAGCTCCACTGATCCATTTCCCCTGAGCATTTCAAAATCAGCCCAGGTCTGCAGTCACTAATTAGGTACTTTTTCCTTAATTTTGCCAGTTTCTGAAACTGCTCAAGCTGAAACACTCTGTGACTGGAAATTGTGGACCGCCTCCTGATTTGCTCTACCTACAACTACCACTTGGCCCTCACCATTCATCATCCTTTTATGTTTTTTTAGTAGAAATCAATACAGATCATGACCATTATTGACTGCATAGGCGAACAGATGCTCTTGATAAATGCAGACAAGGGCAAGACATCCATGAGGGAAGGGTTTGGGAGCTCCAATTCTCATGGGCAGACCCAACAGTGATACTACTACTCTCTGAACTGAAAGAATACAGAAAAGCTCTAAATCTCTAGCAAATAAGGTGGGCCACGTCATATAATCCACCACATGGGACATGGCAAGAGGGACATGGCAGCACCAGTGCATTGGTACCAAGCAGCAACTGCTGTTAGATGCACCTGCTATTCTCTACAATTCATCATGGAGCTCGACTTACAGCTTTTAAAAATTAAGGTTTTCTTGCTTGTTGACCTAGCAGGAAGAAAAAAAATGTTTTCAAAATCCAAGTTACAAAAACGTAAAGTGAGCAGCCTCAAAACAAACTAATACTAGCGTCTCTTGCTGAGTATTTTCAGCCTTCCTTGGGATTGTTTTTTTCGAACAACAACATTAACCAGCCTTGGCACGTAGTCTCCCTGCTGCAGGCTGCTTAGCAGGGCAGGCCTGCAACGCTGAGCAATTCCCAGCGACTTGACACGCTTCACGGAGCAAAGCTGCTCACATAACTGCTCTTGAGCTCTTCTGGCCCGCTAAGAAAACCCTCATCAATCAGTGCCAATCTCCGGGAACATGCCCGCGAGCCGGAGTCACGGCGCTGTTATATGGAGTTTGTCATCAACGCCAGGAATGCCTGAGGAACATCCGGACAGCTCCTTCCTCCGTCTCGTAAACAAGTTGCTACACATCCTCGGAAAGTTATTTACTCGTGGAAAATACTCTACAAAGCTCCGCAGGCGGCACTTATTCTGTGTGCACCACTTGGGAATGAAACCAACTCTTGAGGGAACAAGAAAAAAAGCCCAGAATTAAAATGTCAAAGATGAAGGGTGAAGGGAAATTAAGACCTTACCAGGAAATGTTTCTAACTAGCTCTGCGACAAACACAGCTGGAAAAGAGACAAACAAGCAGTGCTCACTTTTCTCAAGAAATTCATTTAACCTTGTTAACTTTTTGGAAACAGGAATACTCAGGAACATCTATAGTCTGCAGCAGAGAGATTTTGAACTAACTTTTAAAGCTTTGACCGAATTTGCCCCAGGAAAGGCATTCAGAGACGGATCAGCAGATGATACAAAGTCTAATTGGTAGAAGCCAACAGAACTGCACTGATTTTTATTCCAATAGGCTCAAGCCCTCGTAGCTTAATTGTCCTAGTACTGAGTAAAGAAGGTTACGAACCAGAAGCTTACTGCAAGTATTTTGAATTTCAGTCTCCTTGGTAAACAAACAAACAAAAAAAAAACCCAAGCAATGGCATGTCATACTAATGCAAAGAAGTTAGAATGGTATCATACATTCCTTTCTTAGTTCATTTTCTCTCCTCACAGATTCAACAATATGAGAGCTCATAATTTAGTAGCAACCTTTAAGTTCATTCTAAAAGCTTTATCATCAGGGAACATTAGATACCAGCCTTTAAAATCAGACTTTTTTTGATCATTTTTTTTTGATCATCTGCAGTCAAAGGCAGCACATTTCACTCAAGGTTAGGACAGTCCTTCCCACCACAGAGCAGCCCCAGGCTCTTTCACTTCTAGATATTGCAGTCGAGAGGAGGCATTTAAGCAATCCACAAGTTACAACAAGTTTCAGAAAACCTTCTCAAAGAAGCTCTCTCCTGCACCACAGAATAACTTGCAGATGATGCGGAAGCAAAAAAAAAAAAAAAAAAAACTCATATAAACAGAATCCACTATCTGCAGCTATTTTGTTTCTAACCTGGACTACCTTCTCATCTAGTGGAGAAAAGCTTGCTAAGAGTGGAGAAGAGCATAGCAGGGGCAAACATAAATGCTGCCTCACCTAAATTGGCTGCTGGGTAACATGCAAAATAAATAAATGAGAGGCTTCAGAGGAATCACCATGGTGCGAGTTAAGCAACTCCTCACTGACCCGAGCAGCTGCTGATGAAAGGCTGAAGATCCGCACTAAGCAGGGAGGGAGAGAAGGCAAAGTACATCTAGCCCTGCAAATATCCCCAAGTGATGGGCACTGAGTCCCAAAATAGGAATTCCCAGAGAGCTGTGTTTGCCTATCTACTCATCCAGGACACAGAGTATTAATTAAATGTTGATCTTCACTTAAAGCTAGTGAGGTGTGAACTGCTCTGTGAATTACTGGAGATCATGTTGCTATTAATCTCACAACCCACGAGCAGTCAGAGCTTAGGGAGGTAGAAGCCAGTCTCTGGAGAGGGTTAGGAGAACATTGGCAGCCCTGGTCCTTGGAGCACGAGGCTGTAAAACGGCCCCTTTCCCACTGCAGCATCCATGGGCAGCAGCTACCCAGGATCTCACGGGAATGCCCCCTGCAAAAACCCTCCAGAAGCAACTGAGAATGAAAGGGGAGAGATGAGATTTTCTTCCCTGTGTAATGCAGGCAGAGCTAATCCAAGGGGAATAAATCAGCCCGGGCAGTGACAGGCGTTAGAGTGCAGGGACAAGGTCACACCAAGTTAAACCCTCTTCTGTATTCCCAACAGAGAACCTTGGGACTGCTTTTACTTTCCATAACTGGCATTAAAAATGCTTTCTGTAAACTTTTTAGGGCTGCAAAAGGGAGAAAAAAATCAAACATAAAAGGAATTCTTCTACCAGGAGCATTTCCTACTTCCTAAGAGCTGCAGAGGAGTTTTAGGTGGGAAAACTCAATCTAACAACTTCCAAACACACACAGGGTACAGCTAGGGCCTCCTCTGGCAGAGGACTTTCATTTGTTGCTTTGGGCACAACCTTCTGAAACCTTTCTGGAACAGCTACTCTTTTTCCAGATCAAACTAGCTCAGCCTTCTCACTATGATAAAATTGATGAGATTGCTAAAAATCCAGCTGTGATCATTTTGCGTTACTTTGGAAAAATGAGGGTGTGCGTCACTGCACAAAAAGGCAATTTGAAAATGAAGCGATGGCAACACAAAACTACTTGTAAAAACCAAAGAAAGAAAACAAACAAGCAAAAGAAAGAAAACAAATAAGCAAAAGAAAGAAAACAGTGGCTTAAGCAACAACCTGCAGGCTAGAACTGGCTAAACATAGTTATTGCCCCTTCGTGATACAGCACTGAAGCACCCTCCTACTCTGCCTTTAAAATTAAAAATCAGCAAGTACAAAGCCCAAGCTGCTCCTCCCTGGTTCCCTCCAAGGCCCTTGATCTCACTGCTTCCATCCCTAATGGGTCATGATAGCACTGCTCTTGCATGATAATTTTAGCATTTCTCCCCAAAGACTCCTTTTTATAGAAGTTCAGCAAAGGGATATAGATCCAGCATCTTTCAAAATTAGGGTGTTTTTCTCCTTTATAAGTTCAAAGGAAAACAGAAATGATCACTCCGAATCTGAGCTCGGAGCAAGTAGCATCTAGCAAATTTGTGCCTTGGGCTCATTAGCAGGTACGACAGCACACTGGGTCTCAGCAACTCTAAAGTTGTCATCGTGAAGCCCAGAGACAAAGACCTTCTCTCTTCCAAAGCAAGGAAAACCTAGTGGAAATTGCAAGTTTGCATTGCTTTTCTACAGACTACAACTCAAGAAATCCACTCAATGCATGCAGGCAGCTGCTGAATAGTGAAAACCACTATTGTTCTGCCCACCATGAGGATAAAATACATGAGCAGAAATTAGCCACTAGCCCTCTCCAACGCAGACATGAAAAGAAGTTCTGGATCGTTTCCAAATAATAAGGTTATAGCCCAGTCTTCAGACTACCTACCAACTGCATGCCCTCCCCCAGAAGAGTTGGACATATGTGACTTACAGTTAATCAGCTGCTGTCATTTCTCAAAATTAGGAAAGAGGCCGATTTTCCATCGTTAAGGTGTCAAAACATGTCATGACAGGCTCATTCAGTATGTCAGTGCTGCTGAGCAATTATATAAAAAGCTGCCTTTGAAGGCAAGCTATCTGGACATGCTTCGAACTCTTCCAACTGGAGACACAAAAGCCATGATAGCCCTAACTTAGTTAAACCTCAGTTATTAAAAAGGAATCCTAAATTAAACCACATCTACACAGAGAGAATTGTGACTAATGAGATGATGATAAATAGGCAAAAGAGTTCACAGGTGCTGACCTAGCACCATGAAGCCAACGCTAACTGCCAGATAATCCTGTATGCACACTTTCTTCAAAGGACTGCCACTCCTCATCCACCTAATCTGATATTCTTGACAGCCACTATTTTTGGATCATAGATATTGGATTCCTGTGCTTCTGGAGTATCTGTTCTGTATCTTTCAACCCTTGAAACAAACCTTGAAACAGACCTTGAAACCTCGAAGCTAACAGGGCTGCTTTCTTTCTTTGCTAGGTTGCAGACACCTCTTTCCTTCCCAGAGCAGCTAACACACAGGCCGATTTATCTGGACAAAAGACTCAGCTGGTCAAGGAGCTGTTACGCAGGGAATGGTGACACTTTCTGATGTGAGTCAGGAAGGAGAAAAGGCTTTACCGTATGGTCCGTCAGAGGAGGCAGCACTATCAGCTTCTCCATGGTGTTCATTACCACCCTCCAGAGTTCCTTCAGCACCCGCTTCAACACCGTCTTTTCACACACGGTCGCAAAGAGCGTCAGGCTGCAAGGAAAGAGTAGGAACTCAGTAAGCAGCAGAAATGCAATTTGCAAGGAGAAAGGAGAGGTGTATGTGAGAATCAGTGTCCCATCCAAAACAATGTTTCGCAATGGTTGCTTTATGGGAAAAATTTTCCCTTGTCATAGAGTAGCCTGTTTTCATCCTTGGAATTTTGACGCTAATGACATTGACGTGTTCTTCTGACCTGTCATTTCTGATTATTGACCCGAGGATCATGGAAATATCACTGATATCTTAGCTAGGTAGCTGGGAATATCCCAAATAAGATCTGTTACTGTCATCCTGGTCCTTTTAAGGAGATACTTTCTGATGTATACGGCCTACAAAGTGTGTAAGACAAAGTCATAAACAAATATAGAAAAAACAGTTTTAAGGTTGAAGGGATTATAATGATCTTTGCTAAATTCCTAAATTAATACTTCCCAGGCTGTTATGCCGAAGTTTCTGCAAACACAACTTCTGATAGTTGCTAAAGTCCCTAAACAAACCACCTCTCGAACTACCTCAAGGCATTTCTCTGATTCCTCTGCACTTAGTTGCAATTGCCTTCACCAGCAAGCACCTGCCATATGCTTGTTCCCTTTTCCATAAAGCAGTTCCGCATTACCTCCCCATTTACTCCTCCTTTACTATCGTGTATGTTGCCAAAAAGGTTAAGAAATAATAGATCCATCTTCAAGGTCCAACAGTGGAAAGCTACAAAATAGGAATTCTACTGTCAGTTGTAGTGCATGGGCAGTAGCCAACTCTTCCTCATTCGGCAACATCTCCCAGGTTTCTCATTTTCCAATAGCTGGTTAGGCAGTAAGTGAACAAAACTGAGTAGGGACTGATGTCATGTTTGTAGGAGGCAGAAGTCATTAAAAAAAGGCTTTTCTACCAATAGAGGCCTGAGGAAAAGAATCCAGGCTCAAATTGCCACCCTCAAAATGATTTGCTCTGCGGCTGGATGGAAAGCTCAGAGTACCCCAGTTTCCCGGTGATACAAGAGGATAACTTTTCAGGATTAGCAAAGGCATGCCTGGAAAATGCTCAAAGAAATGAGACAGGTCCTAGATGTACTGAATGCCTCAAAGAGTCACTTGCTATGTGGAAAGAGAGCTAGCAAGGCAATTATTTCTCAAACTTTTATGTAGCCGTCACTTCTCACACTGTATTTATCGAAACTGCTGGCTGCACCTTTCAAAATAAAGGCCTGCTGTACATCATCAAGAAAATTAATTTCTACTGTAATTAAAAACTCTAACACTTCACAGATCAAGGTTTAGCTGATACTAAGAATTATGTGCAAATGGCAGCAAAATATCCCTGCACAGTTGAATAATACCACATAGCATTAGTGGAAACTGTTAATTAAAACAATGGATCTCTAGTTCAATTCCTTCAAGGTGGATGTGCAGAAATATACCCAACCTAATGCAAAAATTTGTTAGTTATAACACTTGGTATGGTCAGAACACACAACCCAAACATGATATCCTGGGATTCTGAATAGCAAATGCATCTAGAACATAAGTAGGTTTTACAGTATGTTTGTTAACTGGCTACAGGGTATTACAGAAGGAGAAAACTGAAGCTAGGTAGCTTCCTATTTACTATATGCCTCAGTCTTCCTCCTACCTGACAAGCATGGTGCTTTGCTGATATATCTACATTTGCCAAAGGGAAGAAGGGAGAATTGGGAATGAAGTGTGGTATTGGATGAAAGCTGTGGACATATATGATCCATGGCTTTAGGAGAAGCAGATTTGGGAAGGCATTAACTCTACCTGACAATTCGGAGGCTATACATTTTAAGAACCACCCAAGAACATGGAGCTGTTTTCCTTCTCCATCCCATTCCCAATTAGATGAGATATGCGTATATCTGAAAACACTCTTACTTTCCATCCAGAAAATCCATCAATGGCCTCAGGACATTATCTGCATCTTGTGCCACGGTGTTTCTGGCATTAGCAGGAACATTTCCCGTTCCTTTCACTTGACAGAGGATATCCGACATTTGCTTGACACACTCATCAATACGAGTCTGAAAGCTGGATGGGTAAGAAAGAAGCAAACAAGATTATTTATGGCACAGCTCCCACCTCTAGTGCATATGGTAAAACATTCCAAGCCCATAAACTGTACACTTATTTATTCATTCTTAATCCTGAGATTTTTTACTTATTTCTTCACAGTGTTTGTTATAAAGGGACATGCTATCCAATTCCTTATGCACATCATCCACCAGCAGCCCACCACCTGGGAACACAGACACACTCACACTTGAGAAGAGTTTGTTCTTTCCGCTTATAAGGAGAAATCATCCTTTGTTGTTTTCTAGAAATGCAGTTATTTTTATCCCAAAGCCTTGCATATACTTGCCTTCTGCACAAAGTGTTATATCCTAAAGATCAGTATATAATATGGAACAACGACGTGACCCATGGACAACTCCAAGCACATGAGAGTCCACGGCAGTAACCTGCCTATGACCTATCACAGGCCAAGCCTTTAAAATCACAGAGATGTCCTGAAGGCAGATAGAGACTGAAACTGGTCCATTGTGATCCATTCTATACAGAACTATCAGTACCACATGTGGGGTTTAGCTATATAATGAGCAGCACCCCTGTAACGACGTGACTTGTAAGCCATTAAAGTGCAGTTAACTTTTCATCTCTTACTGCTATGAAGATTTAAAATGAAATAATGCAGTGGTTAGATATGATGGATATCACAGCAGGGCAGTCAACCTAATGATTCAGAGAACAAAGGGAAATGCTTTGACATTTAAAAGAACAATTACTAGCAATAGATGTTACAAATGACATTCAGTGATCCACTAAAGGCACAGAGGTTTAAAAACATGAAGTGAAATCAGTGTTAGGAACTAGGGTAACGGCTTAAGAGCAGGAACCCAAGTTTGGAAGCCAGCTTTGCATCCAAGCAGACTGAGCTCCTCCTGTGTGAATCACCAGGACACGCATGGAGCAGGAAGCACCTTCCCAGTCCAAACATCTCCCTCTGTTACTGCCCTGTTGCTCTACACTTCTTTCCCCTACTCATCACCTCCTTCCTTTCCTGCATTGCAACCTCCAGCCTCATGATCCTCCTTGCTCACTTCTGAACTGCTTCTCATTGCAATTCCAGACAGTTCTCTTTGCATCCAGCCTCCATTTCCCCTTTTGTTCCTCTCCACTTAGCAGAGGATGGCTTGCAGCTGCCAGTTGTGGCTACAACAGCTTAGCCAGAGATGGTAGCCACATCACGTGTGCTACAGGAAAGCAGCACAGGGAATTTCTGGCACTGCCAACAGTCCTTATTCTATTACAGACTAATCCTACTCCACAGTTTCCCCAAATGCTACATCAGTTGTGGGATCCCACTTCGAGACACTTGCAAACCTCCAATTAGGGGGAAAAAAAGGAACATCTCTTAAAAGATAAAATAATAATAATACAAGGTAAAATTGTCACCAATGATGAAAACTGGTAAATAAGTTACTGGGGTAACAGTTTCATCTGAATGTGAAGTCCATGTTACCACACAGCACAAGGGGAACCCTCCACAACAGCAAGTTAAAAAGACAACTTCACTTAGGCTGTCAGGCAGGGCCTTCTGCTCCCTAACTCTTACAGGATTTTCTCCCTTCCCTCCTGCAGCCTCCAGGAACAAAACAGCCATCAGCCTTACATGAGGTGTAAACTCTTTCAGGGTTCTGGTTCTCTGAGAAGTCCTGTAAAGTGGAAAACATTTCTGTGTCCAGACGTAAAAATCTCAGCTCAAAGGTGGCGGGACTCTTGGGATGCAGGATGCTTGCCCAGCAAGTGCCATTTTATCACATGCAGCAAAGTGAGAGCTGCAGTGTGAGGTGTGCACCGTGCTGTAGGAGCAGCTTCTTGCAAACCCTGCACAAAATACTGTGGATATAGGTCTTACCTCCCGCATTTACATCCTTCAGGAGAAGATCCTGCTCATGCAGGAAACTGCAGTCCCACTTTTCATTCTCTGTTAATGTTAATGAGTAAATGAAGCAGCTGAGCCCTGTGGCTGGTTAAATCTCTAGCTGGCACATCTCTCTACAACACTGCCTGCCACGCGTGCTGATACTGAATAATCTCTTTAAATTATATTTGCAAACGTCAAGATTCAACCCTAATTGTCTTGTAGCAGTGACACTGCGGAGACGGGTGTCAGGTAACAGTGCTCACCCTCTAATTATAATTTCTCACTCATCCTCCATCTAATAAGGAACCTTATTGTTTCAGATTGGTTACAGTTGGAGTCTCTCCGCTTCTTGCTTTGCCATCATTAGAGGCAGTGGGAGCTACCTGCTTAGCTCCGTGTGCTGAAATCCAGCTGGACACTGACAAATCCCACAGTGATTTTTGGTTACAAGTGCTGCAAATCTGTAGATGTAGGAAGCAAACCTAGTACAATTTTCTTTATTCCCCTCACCCTTGTTTAAGCTGTACAGCTCGACATGCCTGCATTAATCTTTTTATGAAGGACAACATGAAATGAATAGGGCTGATTGTGAGGAATGAAGATGAGCTGGGAACCCTCCATTTCTAGATTTTGCTTAATTGACATCTTTTTGTTTTTGCAAAATTATTGTGAAGTTGAGCACGTTTTTATCCTCAGGTAAACGGTATTACGTTCTGAAATCACACTCACCATGAAATCACATAAATGCTATCAAGTTCTTCAAATTGTCTTTTAACAATTCTTTAAAGAGGTTTTCCCTTTGAAATGCCAGAAAACACCATTCGTTGCAACATTCAACCGAGTCAATCTCAAATTCGAAACCCATTTCCCTCTTATTCCAATATTCATTTAACAATCAGAAATCACTCAGCTGTTTCATACACTCAGAGTAGAATGTTTAAACAAGAATGTTGCTTCGTAAATGCTAAGCTGAAAACTGCTTTCAGAGCAATAAAGGAGTAGGCAACTGAGTTACTGACAAGCACTGTTAGTCTATGTACTTCAAACACATTTCACAGCTGAGAGAATTCCGTGTTACCTTTCTGTGTAAAGCAATACAGAAAACACAGCCTTCTAAAAACACTTCCCAGTTCTTTATGTGGTCTCAGCAGCTGAAAGGCCATGAATTCATGACAAAAAAGCAATATAGTTGATATGAACTTCTTTTCTTAACATCAATAAATGAGGCCAGGTGAAGGAAAGGGAGGCTTTGAGGAAGGAGAACCTGGTTATACTCACCTGTTCCCAAACACTGCACTCAGCTCATCCAAAACGTTGTTCAGCTTCACCTGGAGTTCTTTCAGGTGGTCACTTGCTTCCGTGTCCAACTGTAGATGAAAGAAGGAAACTTAGCCCAGACCCAGAGGGCAGTCTGCTGTCTCTCCCAGTGTTCAAGCTCACTGTTGAAGCCACTGTTACCAGGCACACAAATTCCCACCCCGGGGCTTTGCACAATAGGACCCTCTCTTCCACTGACTGCTGCTGTTACAGAAGCTGCAAGATTGTCAGCAGATACGTGGCCAAACAGCAGCAAGAGTTTGTCCTAGGCCCAGATACTCTCACAGTCCTCTTGCTAACACTATTTAAAAAATTTTTTTTTTTTTTTAAATACTTGATGTTATTGACTTGTGCACTACTCCGTGCACGACCTTGGAAGATGCTATTTCCCCTTCCCACCCTGATACCAGCATTTAAACATAAGATTGAGCCCCTGCTCTCCAAAGAACTTCTCCCCAGCTATTTTCCAAACCCGGGCACATGCTGCTCTGCTCTCGCAAGGATCCAGATCATTTCTGATACACAGCTCTTCAGAAGAAACTTTTAGACATAACAGAAAAAAAAGAAGTGCCCAAGCAGTACATGGACTTTGCTGACATGTTGGGATGTGCTGTAAGAAGGTGCTTGCTCCAAGATCCGCAGTCCAAACCTGTTTTTCCATACATGAACAGCTTGCACTTGGGCTGCTTTCACCCCTCCAGCTTTGAAACAAAGGCCTTATCTGAGCAGGCTGCCTATGTACATAGCACCACACCAAGAATGGTTTGGGATCCTTCGGCCTCAAAGAGCAACTTGTAGAACAGACTTGCATTCACATGCAGGCAAGCTTCTGGTTGCAAAACGAACAAGAAAACCCTCCCCAAGTACGTGCATTCAACGCTTCAGCTTTATCTCCAAGCAGAATATTTATTTACCGAGTAATCAGTCTGATACCACCACAGTGGCTAATAATCAGTTTAGATTTCTACAGTATTCCGATGCATACATCTATGCAGGGTTTGAATTTGATAGGAATTCCCTGCTTATATTCTTTAGCATTTGCCAGAGAAAGTCAAGCCTTAGAGGATTTGGAATCGGATCCACTCATTTTTCTAGAGCAAGCTGGCTTGGAAAACAGACTCTATTAGGCATTTGAAAAGCACTAAGGAAAATCCTGGATGAGAATTTAAGAAATGGTGGAAAAATATGCAGATGATTATTACTTAAGCCTTATAACTTTAGGCTTGGCTTGCTGTGATTATTCTTCCCTATTAAACATGAATTTGCATTTCTATTACCTTTTTAAGTCCCTTACTATGAAGGCAGGGGGAAGATAAAGTCATCTCAATCCAGCCAAACTTTTAGGTGACAAAGAACAATGCTGGCAGTGGTTGGTCTTACCCCCACACAAGCCCTGCATCCTCACACTGGAGTACAGTGGCAGTGAGTCACAAGCTACCGGATTCACTATCAGTAACTGCACGGTGCTCTGAGCAGTGTTCTGATTTCGTCCATTTCTGGTAGATTTGGGGCACGTTCAGCTCATCATTGGCCTATACATTTACTTCTTTATTAGTTTAGAGAAGTATATGTGCTGGCTCTAGAGATGTTTTATGTCAGGATCAGCAACTTGTTGCCTTGGTTCATGCAGTTCATGATTAGTTTTACTGTGAAGTGCCATGTCTAAGAGCCTCCAAGTTCTTCCTTGCTGCTACACTTGTCGCCCGTAGTCTGACCTTCCTGGGAGCAGAACAAAATCTGGGATCTGTAGTGCAAGAAGGGGCAGTTGGAGCAGAGCTTCAACATGGGGACAAGCTCCAGTGTCCGCAAGGAGCAACTGTGTCTCCTTTGGAACACAAGATCATGTCTCACTGGGTGCAACCTGGCAAGACAGCTGCCCAGATTTGGCTTAGAAGTTCCTAACCTTTCCCTTGGGAAGCAAAGTCAGGACAGCCCTGGCAAGGAGCATTCTGGTTAAGTGACCACCATGTCCTCTGTCATCCCACAAAGGCTGTTCTTTTCCAAACAAATACTACTACAGAAGGAGGAGTCTAGATAATGTGCTACCAATCACAACTACTTAGTTATTGGTCCAAAGGAAACTTCAGGGAATTACCACAGCATGAGTTAAGTCCATTAGGAAGGTGTGGGCAGGTGTGTATTGCTGTTTCTCATGCATCCAAGTCACTTGGCAGTTACAGTGTCCTTGCAGCATGGGGAATCGCTGTGAACTGTTCTTTGTCAATACGGTGAGGCACTGATAACAGCTCCCAAGTGAAGCTGTGTCTATTCTGCTGCCCAGCCAATGAATTCTAAGAGTATCAGCTATTGCTGATAGCTGGAAGTGCTACTTGGACTGCGTGATAAGTCTGGCTCGTAGAGCAAAGTAGAAAGCAATATTAGATACTTGGGTCATTGCCATACATCAGCCCATCTCTATTGGAAATGGGAGCTCAGCAGGCCTAGGATCTCCACTCTGTGGGTGTACAGGAGATGATTCAGAGGAAGAAAGCTAATGCAAAGCGCTCTGTGCAAACATAGGGCAGCACCCACAGGCAAGTAGCTTCTGATCTCCGAGCAAAGGCTCCAATTCCAGTGGAGATAACGGTTGATGCTTCCATAATGCCGTGTTTGAGATGTTAAACGTGTGGTACCAATAACTGAGGTGAGCACAAAAGGCAGCGCTGTGCTAACTCGAGGGAACAAAGCAGGGCCCTATTGATTTTCTGTAAAGACTTAAAATTTGCACTTCAGAGAATCTTGCCCTCAAAGTCTCATCCAAACACATACAGGACTGGAACCTGCTGAACTGCTAATCCTGTAAATGCAGTGTTTTTTGCAGCATGGTATTATACATCTCATTTCAGGTTGACCTCCTCCTGCTTCTCTCACGGATGAAACGCAACCTGTGGAAGCTGCCACAGGCTTCCGAATCCTCCAAGAGGTATCTTTCATTTGCCCTTCATTTTGACACACGTTGATGAGGACTGAGCAACCAGAACTGGAAGGCTTTTCTTGAGCTACAGAAACTCAGCTCTGCCTTTCTAGACGGTTGCTGATGTTCACTAATTCGCACCTTAGTCCGTGAAATCACCCGGCCTGTTCTGACAAAGCAGCAGCCACAGAATTCTGTCCTTCTGTCCTGTTACAGCCACATGCAAGTTATGGGACTCAACTGGATCCAGCCTGATGCTGTAAATTCTTGTTCTGGCTTCCTCCTGCAAACTTCTCTCTGCAAAAGTCGCTGTGAGGCAGCAGGTTAAGCACATTCAGTCTCCTTGGAAGGACTTGCTGCACTGAGTTTCATGCTTCTCTCTCCTCTCCTTCCTCTCCTATACATTTCAGGCATAAGAAACCTGGAGAGCTTAATACTGGCAATGGCTGGAGGCTCCTCAAATGCTGGAGTGGCCTTAGCTAGCTCTTGAGAGGCTAATGAGAAGCAATTAATAGATGCCACAGACCCCATGAGAACATTCCCATCAAGTGTTGACGGTTTTAAAGCTGTCCTGCCATTTGATATTCAGGTAGCTAACCGAGGATTTAAGAGGTGGGCTAAATCTGGCTGAGCACTAGGAGAGAGTTTCCTGAAGCATTACCTGTGCAGCTTAGCTTAGCTTGTAACCAAAGGCATGAAAATTGTTCGATGGCAATCTGCTGCTACTCAGCAGCTAATTCTCTGAGTTCCCTAAGCAGGGCTCGCCTCTGATACTCACCCTAGACACCTGGACTGTGCCACAAGTGCAGAAATGCATTTTAAACTAAGTTTCCACAGCCCATATAGACTCTATACCAGCAGGAGAGCTTATACAGCTTTATTTTCCATGTTATGAGTTTATAGCTCATGAAGAGCGGAGCAAAACAACGGGCTGAGAGGCATCTCTCACCAGAGAATCTGGGAAGTTTTACACTGGCCTTAAGGAGAGCATGCAGGACAGGCTGATGTCTGCAGGAAAACTGCAGGGATGAGCAGAAAATTGCAGGTCACATTCAGTTTAATTAGATAATAGGTGAATAATTACAGAAATGAGGCTAGATCAGTCATGTGCTAACAATGAACATATATGTGTGTGTGTATATATACATCTCCATCTCCATCCTATTTAAGCACAGAACAGCCCGGTTCTAAAAAGTATTTATGTACCCAGTTTCTGTCAAGCACACACCCCTAACTACCCTGTCTACTATACTACTAAGTATAACTCTGTCAATGCACAGATTTTCAAGCTGGCTTTATTTAGGAATGTTTGAGAGCACTTTAGAGCCACCCTGAAGCTGTTTTGACCCCATGAGACAACAGACCTCAAAAGGGATAATAGAAGCATTAATTATAAATTCTAAAAATCATGCAAGATTTTCCTTCCTATAATCTGTATAAAGCTTCTTTGTGATTTCAAGCACGGATACAAAAGAATCACACCTCAAAGAGCTCTCAAAAGCCATGAAAAGTCCTTCCTTTCCTACCACTACTGCTCATAGACTTGCAAGGCCAATGAACTGCACATGGACACGTGTCTGTGAACCAGAAGCAAACGAAGCCATGAACATGCAGTCACTGAAATCAGACCCCAAGTTCTGGCTTCACACATGGTGTATCTGACTTCACTATTGATGGAACCACAAAATATTTGGTACCTTATTCTCAGCAAAACCACAAACAGTTCAAGAGGACCAGCAGGTAATTATCCTACTTCATTAATCCCCCAAGGAAGCAGTCCTGGGTACAGCAGTCTGGGCAACATTTCCATTTGTTCAGGCTGCTGTATGTTGTACCAATGAACATACACCAAATCTATAGCACAAACTAAGAACCACCCTTCTTGACAAAAGGCTAAAACTCAATAGAGATGCATTTGCAAGAGCACATTTGCCTACATGATTCTACCTGCAAAGCTGTTGTCTCATCAGCTGATACCCACTAGCCAGGTTCAAGTGCCATCAGAGAAGGGACTACCCAAACTAGGACGAGACCTCGGGTCTTCTAGCAAGGAGGATCTGGCAGGTTTCACTCGAGCAGCAATGCACTACAAGGTCGCCAAGAAGAAAACTCCTGGCGACAGCAAATCATTCAGGCACTTAGCACAACGTGATTTATTTCTGGTGATCAGTGGCAGCCTAATGAAGTGAACAAACAGAATTCAAAAAGAAAAAAAATGCTTTCAAAAAATCCCAAGATTTCTAGCATGTTCACCATTTCCCCCCCCCCCCCCAATGTGTTTTATTGCTCCCAGTCTGGACATCTCTCCCTTTTTCTCTTGTCCAGTTTCCAGATACAGAGGAAAAAGTCACCTTGTTCCTTCTATTCTACCTCAACTACTGCCTGAGGAATGTTTTAAACAGCAGAATGCACAAAAAGTCTAGGCAAAAAGCAGCTGACAGTCCCACTAAATACATTTTTTTTTTCAATTTAACATAGGATCAGTTAGCTGATTGGGTTTTTTAATTCTAAGCATCAGGAAACCCTAGTTAAGTCAGTGCTATGCAATAATTTGACAAATTGATTCTTTAAGAGAAATAGACTGGTACATGCATTGAAACTTTTATAAATCATTTCACAAACATTTCCAAGTTGATTTTTTCCTGAAAACATCAAGCATTTAGCTGCCACTGCTATTACAGGTGAGAAGATATAGCCCTAACTCTTGATGCAACTGTAATAAGTTAGGACTGTTGAGATCACATCTGAAAGGACAGGAGAGATCTCTCTTGCCTTATGAGACAAAACTTTTAGTAGAGATTTTGCCACTTCGTAGGATTCTGCCACTAAGCACGAGAAAGATCTGAAACAGCAATGCAGGCAAAAACTAAACTGCCCATTAGCAAAGCGAACTTTTCTCTTGCTATGTAGGTCATAGCACAGATTCTACCACAACACAGCCAAAATAAAATGCACTTAGGCTTTGAAAAAAAAAATTCCTAACAGCAGTATCAGCAGCCTTTTCTTCATCTTCCTGAATTTTGAAAAGCGTGGAAAAAGGAAAAAAGAAAGTACACAGATTATATTAGAACAGAAAGAGTTATCTGGGGTTAGAAAAAAAAAAAAAAGAACAAGTTTTGTGAGAACAGCCATCTTAAGAAAAAAAGAAAGCAAACCTATGGAATATATCTATGTTCATGGCCACTTCTGAGTATCCAAAGTATGAGTATGTAACTCAGCGTTTGCATTTTTGCAGTGCATTAGATATTGGACATTTACAATCAGAAGTCCTATCCTACATTTACATCATGCAAAATGACCTGATGTCAACCGTTCTCAGACACATCTGTCTTGCTTCAGAGTCTTGAAACCACCAGCCGTGCCCACAACCAGCCCACATTAGCACACTACAGATTCCTATCTTTCCTCCTCCACTCTGTTCCGTGCCTTGAAACGTTTCCTCCTGCATCTTATGATAAATTTAGCCAAAAAAAATCTCCAGGCATGGCTGTCCCTTCACACTTACTATAGCTCCAGGTGTCACAGGGCTCTCCTCGTGACTGCAGGCTGCAAGCACCAGGATGATGTTGGAAATGTTTGCAGTAAAAATGGGTAACAATTATTAAGTCCCTTAACGCTCTTACCTCTTTACCACCCATGGCTTCAAACATCTTCTCCAACTGTACCCGCAGTTGCTGGATGTTATTCATAAGGATGCAGGGCTGAAGGGACAAAAGCAAGTGCCTCTTACTGCTCTGGATGCCAACACACATCCATCCACTGGCACAGTCTGCACCTCAGATACCCTCCTCCAGGTAACACTGCCTTTGTGAGTCAAATAGGGCGTATGGCACAGATTTCAGCACTCAGACCTAAAAGAGGAATGTCTTGTCTTTCTGCAGCTTTAAATGAAATGGCCAGTTGTGTAAATCTTTAGTCGGGAGGGGTCTGCCATCCAGAGCTGCACTCAAAAAGGTGTTTGGGGTCTGCCAGGTCAAGCCTCGAGCAGTAAACAGAGGGAAACTTGAGCAATAGAAGACTCCTCTCCCTGCTCCCCCACATCCCTCCTGCAATAACCAGTTGTGGGAAGTAACAGAAAGAGCACAGGACATATTCAAGGTTCAAAAATGAAAGACCTTGTATCATTTATTATCCTGAATTTTATTAAATTTAGGTTTAAACATCAAGCTAATTAGATGGAGACAAAGTAAACCAGGGCTGCTTCTGAGCACAAGATCCAGAGAAAAAAAATGTGCCCATCAGCTATCATCTCTGATGCAGGATGCAGACAGGCAGAGAAGATGTTAATTCCAAAGAGATGTAACAGTCTCCAAGGCCTGCTGTGCTGTAAGCTCTGGGGTTTACTTTTATTTTATGGCTAAGTAAACTTATAACTCCTAACTCAATCTACCAAAGCGTAGGGACAATAAAAAACGTGCTGATCATATTTATACCATCCACATGATCGTAGGACACTGTGGAGGGAAGCCTGCTTTATCAGAAAAAATAACATGATTCCTCAGAGTGGAGGAGGAATTCATCACGACTCACCAGTTTCTCCTTGGAACAGTAAGACTGGAAGCTCTTGGAGAGGATGTCAGCATACTGCATCAGCACCTTCCCAATCGTCTGTGAAGACAAGGTATCAGTCCTGTTATTTGTCCCCCATCACTGCAGGAGGACTACAGAAAATCAACCCAAACTACAGACCAAACTGAATTCTTCAAAACCTCCTATTATTTTTCATCTCACTAAGGGCAGACAAACAGCTGCTTGTTGAGGGTATTACCTTAGCAAATCTCCTATTGTAATGAGCAACAATAACAGGGTCTGGGCACTCCAGCTTCTTAATGATCTCAAAGCTCTGATTGAGCTGGGTGAAGACATCCACGACAGAGCAGGAGAACAGAGCATGCTCGGATGTTTGCTGGAACTGAAATGGAAGCACACAGAGTCATTCTCAGATGGAGAGGTCTGAGATACACAGGCGGCATTTATTTCATGGCTATCTCTGTCAGCAGCACTTTTGGAGGCAGGATAACTTCACAAACACCCCTGTCTTCCTCAGAATTAGTGAGAAGCTCTCCAAGAGGTTCAGAGGAGCTAAACAGCCAATTCTGCTGCATTTATAGGTTTACCCTCCTTCACCAGCTAGGACTGACAAGCACTAAGGAAATGCAATGTGTTGCTGAGACCTTACTGAAATCTGTTGTTTGCCTGTCAGTTAATAAGAACAGAGCAAAGAAGGGTTTTTAAGACTTTTTTAAAAAAGGGGAATGCTGACATCAGCATCACACAGGCTATACCACCAACAGTCACTGAACAAACTTCAAGGCTTGTGTTCTCCTTTGGAAATACTCAGCAAACTAAAAATAAGATTAGTCTGTAGGTGGATTAAGGTCATATTCTCAGTGCTGTGATTAAACACATGCTAAGTGCCTTATATTTCAATTACGTATCTCTCAAACACAAGGAGATGAGAGAGCACCAAGCAACCGCCTGAAAGATTAACAGCAGCAGCACACAACAGGCATAAATGGATGGTTTGCACCTCACTATTAATTTAAAACATCTCTTTGTGACCTGTACACAAAAGTGCTATGATAAACAAGTTCCATGGTGCAAAAACCACTGCATCCTCCTTTTGTATGACAGCTGAATTTACAGTGTTATTGTTTGGTTCTGGGCACTGAACACTGCAGTCCTCCTTTCAGTGACCTACATACCCCATCTTTTTTATCTCTCTCCAGAGCACCATGCAAGAATTCCAAGGAAACATCTTCATTTTCATCCAGCCACTGCATCACAAACTGCTCGAACCACCTAGAGGAGGGAGAGGAAAAGCAGCAAGGTACAGCATAAAACAGAGCACTCCAAATAGCCCTTTCCCCGGGACACCCATCTCTGTGGCATCCAGCAAGCGTTCAGAAGATCTAAATGCCCTCAGAGTAACACTCTGCCCTTCCTCCTTCCCCAGCATTGCTGTCAGACAGTTGATGCTGTTTCAGATCTCGTGAAACCTTACTGCTGTTAGTTCTCTGGATGCTGTTTCCTCTACATCCAGCCAAAACTTTCCCAAATTCTCTTAGGGTCATGTAACCTGCCAATCAGTAGGTCCTCTACCATCACCGGGGCTGAATCAGGGGCACACAGCATGGCCCAACCTCTGCAGACTGCTGGTCCCGTGCTATTTTTATCCTTCTCTCTTCTATTTCCTCTTCCTTGAGGCTCTCTCCTTTTCCTCTTGGGTTCCTTCTTTATTTTTTCAGCATCTTTGAACATTTTTATTCTCTTTTTCTCCCCCTTTCGTCCACGTGTTACACAAGGAAGACTTCTGTACCCACTGCCTACGTGTGGTGAGAGACAGCATGCTCCATTTGAATGCACCATTTTGCACTTAAGAGATGCAAATAAGCATGAAGGGAGGAAAAGGCACTCTTTTCCAGGCCACTTTATCTGCAGATAAAGTGCCAGGAGGGAGAACTGAGGCTAGAAATTTTCTCTGCTTTAATGCTATTCTCCCCTTGCCCAGGCCTCCTTTAGAACATCCTCCCATTTCCTGGCCTGTTGGTCTCACCGTGAGGGTGCTAGAGGCAGATGAACTGATGATAGCACGAGCTCATCCTTTAAGGCTTGCAGGAATCTGGCCAGCCCTAAAACAGCACTTTAATGTCTTCTTCCAAGGAACTGTAAACTGGGTTAACAAGAAAAGTGCTAGCCCAATAGCCTTGCAACATGCCCAAGTACCCAAGACCAACAGGTCCTAGAAGCCTGTTAAGATTTGTGTCTGTCCCCTCTTCTCACTTTGGAGGAAAAGAGAAAAACATGAGAGGCTGGGGAGGAAGAGGCTGCTGAAACAGCCACTGCTGTATTCCAAGGAATATTCCAGGGAAATGCCTTAGGTGAGGTGGTGCTGACACAGAGCAAACCACCAAGGTGAGAACTGGTTTCAGAGATGGGACCTTAAAGCCAGGATTGCTGCTATTTGGGACATATCACATCGTACAAACAGGAGGGGTATTGTCTATGTTTAAGCAAAAACACAGCACTTAAGCTTTTATTTAAATGTCTGTCTAAGCGTTGTTATTCAGATCTGTGTGCAAGTGCCAATGTGCTGCAGTTGAAGCAAATCTTAATTTAAAATATTACTAAACAGCAGCCACAAATAAGGAGTAAACGTGCCCACGTGTCATTTCAGTCCATACAAAAGATTATTATATGAGCTTCACAACAGAGTACAACCTCCTCTAAACAGGCAGCTGTGTTCTCACAGATCCTGCTAATTAGGGGCTGAGTTTGCAAAGAACATGAAAGCCTGTGCCAGACATGAGAGGGAGATCAAGAGCAAATTCAGAGCCCGAGCACACTGGATAGCCTTAAATACTCTCTACGCTTTGGAATATAAAGCGCATCGATGCTAATATTGGAAATTGTAACTGACACAGTGTTAAAATGCCAGCAGCAACCTGCCTATGCGGCGCTATTTAATTTAGGCAGCAACAGAGCAAAATTGTCATAGACATATGGACTTCCCATGTCCCCGAGAAATTCCTTTTGACTGCCAGTAGAAGCTCTCAGAAGTCAGCACATTTGGGGTTCTTGTGCTTTGAAGGCTCTCGTGGTTTCAACATTTTTGCTTTTCATTACAATAGCACATTTTGAAGCTCAGTCCCTGCAAGAGAACTCAGCAGTTTACAAGGAAGCTGCTACTAAATCCTCCACCTCTTTCAGAGTTTCCAGGCTGCAAGTTGCACAGTGCCTCATCTATGGCATAGCTCAATGGCTAGAAAGCACTACTTGCCAGAGCCTAAACTGTGGCATCTGGCATAGAGAAAAATAGAACTAGTGCACCAATTATTATCCATACTTGGTTATTGCATCGTAAGAAAGGGCCATGCAGCGTTCAGAATAGACACTGCCTGTTTTTATGGCTACCCTATGCTTATATACAAAAATCCACTGCATACCTATTTTTCTCTCTCAACAGACTGCCTAAACAAAGGTGGTGAGTAAAGAAAAGGACATTGTGCCCTGATTTACAATGAATCTTCAAGTGCTCAGTGAGCTACTCAGGTCAGCTAAGTCTGTACCCACACTTGCAAAGCCACTCTCAGCTTTGCCCTTTGCTAGCCAGCAGTAAAGCACAGGAGATAAGTCATCTATAAATATTCCCATCTCCTGGCACACTCAGGAGCAAAATGTACTTTGAGCTATAACAAAAACCTAGAGTTATCTCAGGGCAAGTATCCTGCACAGTCTTGTCCCATCACTAAGCAAGTGAGGAGGGACACTGCAGACCAAGAAGGCAACACAGAGATGAGGCAACAAAAAGATGCTCAAAGTTATCTAGCACAGAAGGGTGAATGTAGGAAGGAGGGGGCCAAACTCTTCTCAGTGGTGGCCAGTGGGGTAATGGGAACAAGTTGAAACACAGGAAGTTCCATCTCCATGTGAGCAGGAACAACTTCACTGTGTGGGTGACAGCCCTAGAACAGGCTGCCCACGGAAGCTGTGGAGGCTCCTTCTGTGGAGGTCTTCCCACCTGGATGCCACCCTGTGCTCTGGGTGTCCCTGCTTGAGCAGGAAGGTTGGACTACATGATCTCTAGAGGTCCCTTCCAACCTCAACCATTCTGTGGTTCTGTGAAACCAGCAAAAATAATTTGATTCCACGCAGAAACAGATACAGGACACAGTTACACGGCAAGTGTTGTCTTCATCCTGTCTCTTTGAATTATCCGTCGAGCCACATGTGAGGTAATGACTCGCACGCCAGCGCTACAGCCCGGCTCGAGACAGCAAAGCCCACGGCCCCAAACTACTCTAGTACAGAACAAGCCTTGGCCCTGCTCACAGGGAAGAGCAGCAGTGCTGTGTCACTAAATGCAAGTGGGCTGCTCCTGGTTGCACAAAATTTAGGCTGAGCAAGAGGCTGTAATTCCAGCTTGGCAACAAGCCTGGTTTCTGCGGGCTCACGCTTGACAGGTGAATTAATCTTGCTCATTTGCAGTGCTGATGCTCATGGGTGCCCGGTGAACATCCCAAGGGCCTTGGCAACTGCAGAGGTTAGAAGGGAGGCAGGATGTCCTGCAAGTTAGACAAGCAGACGCCCTGTTCCACAAAGTGGCCTGGAGAAACAAGACAGGATTTCAAAGGCAGGAATAGCTTTCCCCAGGGGAGAGGAGCTAGTCTCTAGCAGCACTACAATACTAGCTGCATGCTAGTATCAGTATTAAAATATAGAACATTTCTTTATGTGTCTAAATAAAAAGGTTTTGTTGTTGTTCGAGTTTTTTTGTTTTGGTTTGGGAGGGGAGGAACTGACATTTCGCAGCTTTTAGCAGACAGCTAGAAAGCAAAGCGAGAAAGTTTTAAAGATCCACTCCCAGCTATGTTTCTACTTCAAGTTCAGAAAATGCTGCTGAATTTCAGAAAATAAGGGGAAAAAAATCTTTCCTACTTTGGATTCGTCTTATTCAGTTGTGTCCCATGGCTATCAGAAAAATGGTCTCTTACCGCTCCAAAAAGAGAGTTTATCGATATTCTTGTCTGCCTAGTAGAGAGACATCTCAGCTCTTTTCTGGACAGCAGCAATTTGGCTTTATCTAAAGAGTTTACTCATGAGCAAACCTGATGCACGGGCTGCTTTGTTTAAAGAAGCTGCAAGATGAAAAACACCGGTGACTGAGCAAAGTAGACAACAACAGATTGCTGTAATCGGTTTCAAGAGGATGTTTAGTGACAGGTGAAGACCATGGTTGAAATCAACACTCCTTGTCCCTGACATTGTGGTGATTGTGTTAAAGCGTAATAGAGTGAAGTAGCCAGGGGAGCCAGACACTTCTCAGGTGCCCGAGTGCTGAAGAAGCTCCACCACAAAAATCAGCAGAGTAGAAAAGACTGCAAGAAGAAATTGGCATAGAAACACAGAATGCTTAAGGTTGGAAGGGACCTCTAGAGATCACCTAGTCCAAACCCCCTGCACACGCAGGGTCACCTAAAGCACGTGGCACAGAGCTGCATCCACACGATCTCCAGAGCAGGAGACTCCACAACCTCCTCGTGCAGCCCGTTCCAGGGCTCTGTCACCCTCACTGTCAAGAAATTTTTTCTGAAGTTCCTGTAGAACTTCCGATGCTTCAGTTTGTGGCCGTTCCCTCTAGTCCTGTCGGCGGCCACTGCTGAAAAGAGGCCACCCCATCCTCCTCACTCCCTCCCTGGAGGTATTTATACACACACAGCATCATTTTCCTGATTACACAGAGGGGAGAAAAAGGAGACTAAGAATATCTGATTGCTTGCCTAAGTCTGCCCTGACTCAGAGGCACAAAAAGCCTTTCGAGGCTGTCGCTCCTGCACCCTAACGCCTCTCTCTGACCTGATTTGCTAAGCGAGGCCCATAGGCCAAGCTGAGCAATTACAGCGAGTGCCTCAGTCTTATTAACACACCGATAACGCCAGGCTTGAGGGACTGTGCACAGTGGAGGCTGGGGAGAGAACTCGAGAAGCCAAACTGGAAAGGCAGTCCGAGGGGCAAGTGCAGAGCACCGTATTTAAACAGCAAGACAGTGAATAATCAAATACAGGCTGGGAGCAATAGCTCGGTGAGGACACTGGTGAGGAGGCCTGGGGGCTGACAATGCCACTGCAAACAGACTGGCATTGCCTGGCACGTGAGAATAGGATAGGTAGGATTCCTGGTAAGATAGGAAATAACAAGGGGATAGAGGGCCACTATCACAGGAAATCCTTAAAAACCAGCAACATCGACACTGGTCAGAAGCAACACACCTGCTCTTAACTCGGGTAAGGTGGTAAACTGTGGTACCATATTCTTTCCAGATTGCTCAGACAAGTTTTTGCACTCATAAAACTTCTTTAGGTTTGAAATCTACTCCCTCTCTTTCAAAATTAAATAAAAACTGAGAAGAATTCATAGAACTTAAGAGGAAAAGCCTGATATTTCCAACTAAACCACCTGATGTTATTAAAAACCCTTACCTTTACTTACAAATCCTGTTACGCATATATGAGATACCATGCACACACATACATACAGCACACATATCTATTAATACATATTTAGTAATACAAGAATGTAAGCACTGTCCAGAGACACAAAGAGCCCGTTTAGGGCATGTTCTCAGAGGGTTTCTGACGACAGGGAGCATCTGCTCTTCAAGATGCCCTCACTACAAGCACGTAGTTTAAGGACTGTTCATGCCCCTGCTAAAACTGTTGGGAGACAGGGTACAACAAGGGGCTGAACTGTGTCAGGGACAGGGCACAGGACACTAGAGGGGACAAACATACACGTAAATGTTGAAAATAAGGAGTGGTGGAACAGCATATCACAAAGGAGCAGTGGTAGAACCAAATGACTATCCTGGAGGTAAAAGGACACGCAGAGTGGGTGCCCACTACGGAAGATATGAGACACTCACGCTGGATATTCAGGCACTTTTCCCTTGAAGGCAGGTAGATCACGAACATATTCATTGTACAGCCACTTCACTTTGAAGTGTAAATTCATATAGTCTGCGCTTTTACACAGCCTGTGTTTCTCATGCTCTGCAAAGAAGGAAAAAAAGCAGTTAGGTCTGAATTTACCACTACTGCTGTCTCAGACATAGGATGCTCTTACAAAGCACATCTGCAGTAAGCAACGGTTTTGAGCACAAAGCATCTACAGAGATATAAAATCTTCAGTGACACAGAAGGTTTCAGCAGCCAGCAGGGGTTCTCTGCATTTGACATGTTCTCTGCGTTTGGCACTTTAGAGTTCATTTCTATAGCTCCAACTAATACTTCCACTTACTAAAAGGTTTTGAGGAGGAAAAAAAAGAAAAAAAAAAAGGCAGTATCTTGTAGCCTTTCCTCGCAGCCTTTTTATGCAACATATGACATCCAGATTTTACTCTTGTGGGGAAACAGTCAGTTCAAAAATGAACCTGTTCATTTTTAGCTATTAACAAAAGCAGCATGTACATATAACATATATATTACATTACCTTTCCGAAGAGACAACAGTAGAGAGAATCAAGTTTAGTTTGACAGTGTCAGTCACAAGCAAGTTTAGACAAGTTATGAATTCTTATATATGGCCTCTCAAGCATTTTCTATAGCATGTGTCAAACCCCCCTTGCCCAGCTCTGCATTACCTTCTTTCCTCATGGTAACGGAGGATTCACAGCAGCTGGGTTCAGTGGGAATCATGACCCTAATTATCAGCTGACCAGTGCTGCACTGGTTGCATCAATCTCTTCTGATGGACTTCAACAGCATGAACACTGTTTTTCTTCTTTCTTATTTTGGTTTGTTCACTCTAGCATCACAATAAGCTGCTTGGCCATGACAATGGTCTTAAATCTTGTATATCATAGTCTAATATCTAGGTACAGACTTAGGAATTTTTCCAAAAGTTTGCATGACCTAAAGTAGTAACAGGAATAATATCCAGGATTTGTCTGTAAACTCAACTTTCTCATTTTGTGTGTGATTATATCATTACTAATGTAATCACTAGTAATTAATAATAGTTACAATTAGTAATCATTGCAGTCATTACCGCTCATATGTGCGGACTGGATCTGAATGTTAAAAAATAGAAGCCTCTCAACTCTGCATGGCTTCGATCTCGCACTGCAGGTGCCCAGGAACTGGGCAGATATGTGCACAGGGGAACAGCACACGCTGCAGGTATCGATCAGCTGAACATGTGCCTTAAAGATGCAAAATAGTCATAGCTTTTTATGCAATGACCTGACAGAGAGGTTACTCTTGCATTCTTGTCATCTGTTTCAACGCAAATATTTGCAGCTACTCAAAACATGAAGCCCCCATCTCTCCTGAAGCTTGAGCAATATACATAAGACTGACCAAGTAAGTGAGTTATCCAGCTGAAAATACAAAAACAAAGAACCTTTCATGCATAATTGTCTCACAGGCTTCACCAACTCCCCCAGCAGTGCAGCTCTCAAGTGAGTTGTCTGCAAAACTCTGTTACAGCACAATCCATATTTTTCCTCACAGTTCTTCCACTCAGCAGACTCACAAAGGTAGTCTTAAAAAAAAATTCATTTTAAATAAATTAAAGCAGTTGATATCAGACAGATATAATCCCAAGGGAATGATGGTTCAATGGACAAATTAGTTAATATGTGCTACCACTTTATGTGTGTGCTGTGATCCATTACTCTCCACAGGGAAGATATTTTTATTGGAAGCAGAGGCGCGGAAGTACATTCGTGTTGCAGTCCAATAAAGCTAATACCTTTCCTGAGCACTAAGGAATCATGTCCCTCCCCCTCGGTGCCTGAACTGCTGACCTCCCTCAGGAAGAACTGCAGAAGAAAATAGTAAACTCTGCTTGTAGATCTAAAACTGGCAACAGAAATAACAACAACACTGTCTGCTTAGCTCCCTGTAAGAGCAGGAAATCAGTGATTGATTGATGAGTGATTAGAACTTCGTTAACTTTGCTGTGTGGCACTACCAGAGGTGCAGCTCCCACACACAAACAGCTCTTGCGGATGGAAGGCATCATCCAAAAGTCAAAATAACCCACACAGGGACTATCCACCTCCCTAAATATCATTTACTCAGAAGTCAGCAGCACCTGTGGTTGCAGTGTGACTCATCACCTGTAAGGAGTGAAGAGGGAGCTTTAAAAACACTCTGGCCAATATAAGGCATTCACTGTGATAAAGCTAATGGTACTTAGGTTGAAGGCCTGAGAGGAGTCTTGACCCCTCTGCTTTTTGCATCACACACACACACACACACACACACACACACACCCCAAAAGGAGTCAGTCTGAGCAGGTCTTTTCCAAATTCCTCCTAGCCATGATGCTGGCTGCCAACACAAAAGCACCACCAAACCCTGGTGCATATAATAGCAGCCAAGGGGGTTAAAGTTTAAATGGGTAAAAAGCAAAGTAGAAGGACACAGGCTAATTGTTTTCATAATTAAGCAGTGCACTAGAAGCAGTTAATTCAAGATTTTTCCCCAATATGCTCTTCTCCTGCAGTAGCACATTTAAAACACAAGTCAACTGCAGAAGAGGGAGATGCAAAGCAGCCACAGAAGCACAAACCTAGTGATTGCTACCTAATCATCTATGCAGTTCAGGGGCAGCTTGACACTAAGGAGACAAAACTAAGGGCAATTAGAGAAAGAGAGGTCTTACCACCATAAAAGAGACCCTTGCGTATACGAAAGAAAGGTGGGGCTTGTGACAGAGAAAAGATAGAAGTGAATTGCAACAACCAAACGCAAAGAAAACCAAGAAAGCCAGAGACCTCTCAGCAACTTTTACCATCACCAGCTTGTTCCCCACTTCAAGGGCCACCACAGAGTCCTGATCAACTGCACTCCTCGTGAGGAGGAAGGTTTTGGAGCACTTGATGGTGACATGGAAACACAACAGCAATGGGCCAGTGGTACGTTTCATAAAATTGCACTTGCACCTTTCACACAAAGCAGCCTGTGATTCAGACACTCACACCGTTAGTTATTTCAGAAGAAGCTGAAGAGCATCTTCAGATCCACCAGGCTTAGAGGGTTTTGGTTCTGCTTTATAACCTGCTGGTTTTTATAGAGCATAGCAGCAGCAACAGTGCAAGGGTGCACAAATATTTTCCAGGAACTGCTGTTTTTATCTTCAAAAAAAACCCCAAGTTCTGTAATGTTCTCACATTTTTTCTGAAGATTTCATCTGCAAACAGTCTGTGCTGGAGGAGAGTTTTAGGGGCACCGAGGCCATATAATTAAGGCATTAATAGGGAACTGCTTCCTAGCAGTATGCTCTTCAGTGTTATGTCCAGTTTTATTTTTGAGGCAGACAATAGCTCTTCCACCATGTCCTTGCTCCACAGGCCATCAGATCTTTCTTTTTTTTTTTTTTGGGGGGGGGAGGGGGGGGTCAGTCAACTTATTTTTCTTGGGTTAATTTTGAGCAAATAGTGCTGTATTGCTGATTTATTCATTTATTTTAAATGCAAATTGCTGTTTAGGCTGCTGCATTGTTAATACTTCGGAAAGTTGGCATCTGCACCTGTGCTTGATCTACCATATGAGAAGCCAGGCCGTGGCAGAAGGATTTATTTCAGTCCTTCCTGCCAAGTCTACTCCTCTTCTGTTCCTATCAGAGATGCCTTCAATTTACAACTTTCCTAATGCTCATCTGTCCAAACCAAGATTAAATGGTGTTATCAAGGAGAACATGGATTTTCTATTACTGTCTTTTAATGTCTTCCTAATAGAGAGGAGAATCTCTCTTTGCTCGGGGAGCATGTCCTTTCTGGGTTATGGAGGTTTTGTGGAGCACAGCAAGAAAACTGGGAACTCCAGTTTAATTTCATGTCAGCCCAAAGTGGGTTGACAAGGTGGCTATGCAGCTACTGAGCCACAAAGGTGAGGCTGTGTGACTTGGAGATGCCCTTCCCTACAGAGCAGGATGATCCCGCTGGCCAAATCTGGGCCATACAACATCTCTGTTTGATCTGTTTTAACCTCAGGCTGGTGGGGAACAGGAGGCACATCTGAATGCCTCCTCCTGTACTCGTTTACCAGTGAGCAGGGAACTGCCAGGTTGTCCATTCACAGCACCCTAAGCTGTCACCGCTTCTAGGGAGAGGATAAGAGGTCTGGTGGATCCTGGAGTTGCTGCCATGTCTCAACACTTGGGTCTCTTTAGGGGAGGCAGATGAGAGCAAAAGATGGACCTCCAGGGCACTCACCTCCATCATGCTAGTGCCATCACTGCTACCACGAGCACCAAAACACACTCGAAATTCAGAAGGAGCACTTCATTTTTATCACCTAACATTTCAAACTTTATCAATTTTACAACTTTCTTTCCATCTTGGAGAAACCATCTTCTTCCTGAATCTTGCAATTCTCTCCAAACTGCATATTGGAGAGCAATGTGGAAGCATCAAGCTGGAATGGGAGCAGGAGAGGAGGGGAAGTTTCATGCAGCCAGGCCCTTATTCTTTCTAAATACGCTGCAGGGACTTTGGTTTAAGTTAGAAACAAAATTACTGCCACTGCAGAGAGAAGGAGCCACAGAGCCTCCAGCACCACACAGCCAGGAGGGAAGGAACAGAGCCCCACACTCAAACCCCAACACTGAATGCCACCTGCAGCTTAGTGCCTGGTGCTCAACACAGGGACACTCACCCAAATTGCTGAGCATGCTCAAGCACCACCAAAGAACGAGAGGAAAGACTAGTGAGGACTCTCCCAGCCAGCACGTACCTGCCACCTCTGCAGCAGCAGTGCAATCTTCTAGGTTGTCTTTGCAGATCTGCCCATCAGTGCATAAAACTAGAGGACACTAAAACTAGTACTATCTACATCCAAGGTGCTATATCTACCAGTAACAGACCAAAGTCTCTGCCTACTCACAGATGAAAACTCTACTCAAGAGGGTGAACTTACCACTTGGTGAGCTGAATGAACTCATGTTATCCAGAACTTAGGAACAGAACATAAGGGAAAACACCACGAAAAACGTTAGGAGCAGGTATTATATGCCGCATCTGTATGCATACATCTCCACAAAATAGACCAGCTTTTGTAGCAGAGAGCTTGACACATACAGAACTCAAAGCACACCAGATGTTTACCCATGGACCACTATACAGCTAAAGACAAGAATATGAAGCTCCTAGTACAGTTAAACTGATTGAGGAATCACACAGCTGAGAACAACAAATCTGATCTTCACCCTTCATATCCTCCCTTCCCATCTCCCCTTAAAAAAAAGGGCAGAGAGCCAATTCAAACATCTGCATTTAAGACATAGATAGTAAGGACTTCAACCAAATTACTGTAAGCTTGTTCTTATGGTAATTGTAAGAAGCTTTGGGAGCAAAGCTCTGGGGAAGCAAAGCAGTAGGGAATCACACTTGCCTCAAATAGAACTCTGCACCTTGAGCATCTCTCAAATATAAAGTTAGAAGAGACACACACCAAGACATGCTCTACCACTGCTCAATCCTCCCACACAACTAGCACAGATCGAACAGAGATACATTCAGTTTTACATCTTTAGTTCAAAATGCAAAACTTTCTCTATCAGCTGACTTTGAGTCAACCCTTCTAAGGAAGAAATAAACTGAAGAGGGAAGCTCATGATATACTCTCTTTTAGCAAGTGTTTCCTATGCACTGATGAACTCATGGGTGGAAACATCATGCCAGTTCTTGTCTGAAGAAGTTCACAAATGAACTGGAGGATGCCAGGAAAAGCTAAATAAGCTCAGTGCTGTGGAAGGCAGTCACTGACATGAGCAAAATATGAGATGTGAATGGAGAAAATACAGGCAGTAGGACTTGGTCCCATGTTCATAATATCTGTTCTTAGAGCAACACAGTCTCTACAAGACAAAGATGTTGTGAGGTACAATTGTATTTAAAAAATTTTAAAAACTCCTAGCACAGACAGCAATGTTTCACCTGGAGCCTGCTCAAATCAAGCCTAAAGCTCACGAAGGGTGTCCACAGCACAGTCTGTAGCCCTGTTACATTGAGAGAGGTTCAGGAGCAGATGAAGTCTCTTCTCTTTGCTTACAGAGCAAAGCCCCAAGACTGCTCCTGCAGAACAGCATGAAGGAAATGTAGCTGGCAGCATCTTTCTTCTAAGAGTTTGATAGTCAGTCCTATATGTGAACTTAGATCAAATGGGGGACAAGTGGCCTGACAACAATCTTGTGCATGACCAGAAGTCCTAACTTGATTCGCCCATGGAACACAAATTACAGCTAGCATACTATGTAATGCCAGAACACAGACACTTCTGTTTTATCAGGCTATCACCTTACAGGTGACTGTAAAGGCCTGACCCTGAAAAATACAAAGAAAACAGCTCCCACTATAACTGCAGACACAGTGGGAACCGTATGCACTCTGCAAATAAATATAAACCCCGTATTCAGACATTATAATAAATTGTATTGCAAATGACAATATTTCTTTCAAAAAGCTTGGTGTCCTCTGCATGCCTAATGTATTTTCAGAAATGGTAAATTCCTCCTTCACTACCAATCTGTTGGGATTATGCAAAGATATGTTCAAGATGAGGATGTCTGCAGCAGGATTTTAGCAGCACATTTCTGCCCATGATGTAGACAAAGCCTCCAGTGTATCCCACACAGTGAACTGCAGCCGTTGTACAATCCAGAGCTCACCTACCTCTCCAGTCTGTCCTTCCTATTTCAGTACATTGCAAGGAAGCAGCTGCTGCTGTTCTAGGGCATCGTTTCCTGAAGCCAAGGTGAATTCTTGATTTTAAACCAGCTGGGAAGACTATTAACAGCTTGCAATGCAGCCTAACACCCAGGTCTAGACCTCCTGGAGTCTGTCGTGCAGCTCTCAATCTGAATTCTCACCCACAAAGCAGCTGTCCACAAATAAAACATTAAGAAATCCTGCTCCAAAGAGTGCTACAACTAATATGCTTAAGCCTTATTTGCATCAAATGGATGGAGCAGAAGAGATTAGCAAAGCCAGGTCAGCTGGCAGCAGTGAGAAATTCTCTTACCTTCCATGGCGTATTTCATATCTTGGGCAAAAAGAGTCCACATGACCTCGGCGCTGATCTTCCCAACAGCAAGCTCCTGAGGAAACCTGAGGGGATATTTGGGAAAGACTTTGGCACATTTCAGAGCAAAGGGCTCTTTACTCAGCTCTGAGCTACACTATAAGCCGAAAGGCTCAACATTACAGGCATTTCTTTCACCCTAGAGAGATAACCAGGTGGATTTTGGAGATCATGCACTGGTTGAGGCTGCTTTTAGCTCAAAAAGCCAGCCACTGGGTGCCTCTCCTCCAACAGACACTTGCTTTAACTCCAGCAATGTGACCTCAACGAGCTTGCATCTGTTCTTCCTTCTTATCCATAATCCTTTTTTTCTTTTTTTTTTTCCCCCTAGTCTTACATTGGTGGTATGCGAATCCTAACCAGGTGTTTGCAGAGTGTTAAATCCACAAGCTCTAGGGCAAAACCCTCCATTCATGTATAATATCATACAATTCCCCTCTTTTGCCCTGTGGCATTGTCACAGGAGCATTTGCTGCAGACTCAGACCAATTTCAGTTTTCTTTGCAATGTTACACCAACCCCACCCAATGCAAATTCCCAGCGCTGCACAGAATACATCATGTTCCTAAATCACAGTGCAAGGCACTGTCACACTGTCATCATTGTGCATTAATATGCTCAAATTGCTTGAGCAAAAAACAAAAACCAAAATCCCCAAAACAAAAAGCCAACAACTCTCACCCCATTTTCAGGTGCCTCCCTGAGTTCACGATTGTAATAATCGGGGTGTTTGTGTTCGAACGCCATCGTAAATGAACTTTTTGAAACTCTTCCATCCCAATCAAAAAGTTATTTATATAGACAGAGACAAATAAGACAGAAAGACAGACAGACAAGATAAGTTCTTCTATAAATACACAAGTGACAGAAGAGATAGAAAGCAGTTTAACATATAAAGCAGAGTACACAGACAGACTGCTACTAGCATTAGCCACAAAAGACATTGAAGTTTCTTACTGATTTAGGACTGGGGTATATGAATTTTTGTCTTCTTCTATGATAGAAACTATCAGTGTGATGAGTTTGGGCCAGAAGTCCAGGTTTCTGATGCTGGGGCCCTGTTCCTCAGGAGGCAGGTCCTGATTTTTGTTCTAGGAAAGAAGCCATTAGAAACCCAATGTAAATTTAAAGAAACATCTTTGAAATGTAGGTCACTTTGCTCCTTAAAAACTCCAAACACAAAGTATATTTGGGCATTTTCCTTCAAAAAGTTGAAAATTATGGTATCTCCTGGCAAACTGCTTGATCTAACACAAAACATAGTATTATGGCAAGTCATGTCCCAGACTGGTGGCCTCAAAGACTAAGAGAACCCTCCTTTTCAGGCCAGGGCAAAATTGCTAAGGCATCTTTTTCTCTAAGCTGGGTGCAGCTACTTGCATTGTAGTCCCTCCATGCTGACACATTCTGTGTGCATTACTCAAGAGTGGGCAGTGGAGCTCTCAAGGATATGAGAAAAATGTGGGGCTTAGAGGCACATCCTAAACCCAGTGCAGGACCCAGGTCCTATCCCAGGTCCTGCACTCGGGTGAAATTTCCCTCCTTGAGGTTTATCTAAACAAAATACAGTTTCCTTGAAAAGTCCACATGCTTTTGCTGACTGAATATTTCATAAGACCTTCCCTTCAGAAATAATCTGCTATAGCTGAGGCTGGTAAATGAATGGCAGAGCAATTAGTGTAAAACAATTATCCTCCTCCTCTTTACTAATCAGTGCTCATTAACTGCTTACAAGTTTTGTACATTCAAAAGATTACATGCCACATAATTTTGTTCTGGCTTTTTGTATTAATTAGTACCCTCATTATCATGTTAAGCAAATCAGAAACTTGGATTTCTGCCTGCTTATCAGTTACTCACAGGGTCTGTCTGGTACTCGCGACTGTACAGCTCGTGACAGTTGTTGAAAATGTACTCATAGGTGGAGTTGAGGCAGGCTTTTACACAGTCCTTCACTACTTGGCTGGCTCGGGGTGGGCTCTGCAGCTCTTGAACCTGTGAAGAGACGACAACAATGCCAAACTAAACAGAGCTCAGAAATGAGAAAAAAAACTCTCCAGTTTGGGAAGTACCCAGAACTGAGCAGATTTGCTTTCCAGAGCTTGCACTGCTAGTGACCTTAAGCCACGCACGAGCCTGCCTGTGGCCTGCTTCCCCAGCTACAAATCAGGGGTGACAACACTCATGCTGCAGCAGGATCATTTGCAGCATACGAGATTTTAAAATGTCAAGTAAAGTTCTGAGGTATACATAAATCAAACGGTTTAATTTGGAAAGTCTGCGTCAAGCACACACACCTCCTGCTAAACTTAAAAGATTTTGCTATAATGCCAATAAACCTTCTTTCCAGCCGCTGGGAAAACATGAGACAGACTATCAGAGCACACTGCATCTGATCTGGAAAGTCTTACTGAAGCCCAACCACTCGCATGCCTTTAAAGACAATAACTTTCTTCCATGGCATTCTCCTTCAACAGCTTGAGTGAATTTTAAAGCATCCTTAATGCCCACTGACACTCTCTTCTTCTATTTTGTTGTTGCAGTATTTTAGAAAGACATTACTTTCAAACCACAACAGGTAATGTAGGCATCATCTTGAGAATAAAACTACATCTAGAGATAATTTTGCTGTTGTCACTTGTCGTAAACTCTTCAGAGGATTTCTGTGAAGCAAATTTGAATACGTACATGTTGCATGAATGGAGACGTTCAAAAAAAGTACTAAAACAATCTTTACCATGGGGTTAAGGGCTTAAGATTAGTTCAGAAGTTTCTTGTTGGTCTATCTCAAATGAAAGCAGCTTTCATCTTTTTAAAAACAAAGCAAGTTAAGTGTACTAACCTACTGCAGGAGTTAAAAAAAATTTAGCAACAGAAATCAAGAGTTAAAAATAATTTCATTACACTTTGCCAGAACAATAAGATAGTATCTATCAGTAAAGTTAACTTTATTTTACCATCTCAAGAAATGTAACTTTTTTTTTTCCTATATAAAGGACGGTGAAGAGATGGTTGTGACAATTAAAAATATATTGACACACATAAGCAAATTTATATGAAAAGCTTCCTGACATTAACAAGAAAATAACCTTTCATTCTCAAGATACACAATATGCTTTTGTCTTTTTTTTAAGAAGGAAGTTATTTGGGCTGTATTTACAACTTAAGAACCCTACAGAAAAACCAACATTAATCTTTTTTAACCAAGTGGTGGTATAGAAATAAAATGGGGATGCTTATTACACACTCAGCCTAAATACTGCAGTGCATTTCAGTGGAGAACAAAGGCACAAAATAACAGTTCACAAGTGGAAAATCTGCTACAGAGGTCTTGTTGTCATCCCCACCCGTAGCTCTACCTTCATCCTGAAGAAGGTGATGCTGGTCAGCAAATCCACTGTAGACTTCAGGTCCTGCAGTCGTTCTCGGCTGCTTGCTGGGAAGTTGTTCTGTTGACACAGAAGGGAAATCCCATTGGAAAGCACAGTCAGATCCCTGCAAAGCTTCAAGCACGTTCTAAATAGGGAAAGCATCTTGGAAACATTTCCTGTTCAAGAAGCTTGTACCAGTCAAAACAATGCTCAATAAATAAGGCCTGTTACTGCAGGAGCTCATCTGTTTGCTTAATTTAATAGCTTCTCATATGGACACAAAATATGTGAATGCCGGGAGCCTACAACCCTCGGAAACAGGCAGCCTTTCCTCGGCCTCGGGATGAGCAACAGCCTCTCCACCTTCCAGCCTGGTCTCCTGCCTAACCGCTGGGCTGCCCCTTTCCTTCTCCCGCTCCCTCCTCAGCTTTTGGCTTCTGAAGCACCAAAAGGTACAGCATGTTTTCAGGAATAAAGTGGATCAAGAAGGAAAAAGGAGTGCCGTTCACCATGGATTATTTGAACCACTTGGTCCCCTGTAAGAGCCAGTCTCCTTTTGCCACAAGACAGCAAGCAAGGGCACTTGCACAGCTCTCCGTATTCGCCCATTCAAAAGCCACCAACACTTTCTTTTTAACAAACGCACACTGGTGGTTATTCATTCTTCTCTTACAAATGCTTGCAAATATCCTGTTTAAATATTGATCTGAGGGAGACTTTAGCTGAGGTAATTTGAATTGCAAACTGCCATCTCCTCTTTTTAAATCTGGAAAGTATAATTTTTTTCCCCCCCCCTCTTCCAGAATTTAACACGCCCTTCAGTGATCTTAAAATAATCACTAGCAGGTCTCTGAGGGCTTCAGCCCACTCCAAGTATACTACTAACTTAATAAGCTCTAAATTATTTAAAGTACACTGATCTTTCCTAGTCCTTACCTAAGGTCTTTCTTGTTTGTCCACACCTGAACACAGTTTTTTTCTGAAGACCAAACAAACAGAAAAGGACCAAAACCAGAGCTTCTCGTTGCTATGTGCTGGTAACTCCCCTCTGCTATACTGTGGATCAGGGCTCTCTTTGGACCTTGCCTTACTAGGAAGGTACTTTTAGAATAGCTCATTATACAACATCCCTTTTATCTTGTTTTTTTTTGTGCCTTGCCCTTTCTGTCCCTTTCTGTCTCCCTTCTCCATATGCTTTATTGTGCTCCATATAAATGAACCAGCCTGAATATATGTTTTTTAATTCAAAGCTGCTATTTTGTCATCATTTTTCAAAGTCTCAGTGAAGCAGCATTAGTCACCATCTACTGCATGCCCATTGATGCAGGTATAAAACATCTCAAAATCATGACACCATCTCCCCTGTCAAAGACGACAACTCACAAACAAGCTAGAGCTCACCAACTGGCCAACCAGTAACCAACTGGGCTAATTAGCTAGTGCTAAATAGCAAGAGGTTTATCCACTCCAACAGGAGGGCTCCAAAAGGTAGTCCCATGGTAAGGCCATGCTGACTCTGGATTAGCACAGGAAGAAACTACAGGGTTTAGGAAGCCTGATAGAGAGATGCCCATGTTTGAAACTCAACTTTAAGTGGGATCTCAACCTGAGAGCATCTCTTACACACCCAGACACAGAGATAGTGGGTCCCTGTCGCTAGGGGGTCCTCGGTTGCTAGATCTAAAACATGCACAACACAGTCATGTGCCCCCTAAAACACTCCTGTTTTTCTAAGTGAGAACAGATCTGTATTTTTCCTTTAGTAGCTTAAGCCTGAAGTAGATGAATAGGATTTAATTTAAAAAAATTCTAATTCTTATACTTTCTCAGAAAAGTAATATGAGGTAAGTGTAATTCACAACTTTAAATTATTTCAGATATCAGGAGTAATTATAATGCACAAAAGAATATGGTGTAAGTGCTATCCAAAAGGAAACCAGCACTATGCATCTGAGTAACAAGCTGGTCCCAGCAATTCCCTGAGACATCAAAATTACCCACATCTCAGACGTACGAGAAATTATCCAAAAACAAAAACTGCTTATTGACACTTACCCTGTACATTGAAAGATCAATACGAAGTGAATTATGGAGCTGGTCCAGAAGTTTCACGAATCGTTCTTTCTGTTGGGCAGAAAACACCAATAAACATCACATATCATCACTGTCCACTTGATGCTCAAGAGTAAGAAGCAAGATATCAGAGAATCAGCGTCAGAACTCAGCAGAGTAGAAGGAAATAGTATTGTGCAAACAGTATTTTCTTTGAATTCCTAGATTTGCTATTACACTCTAATTATTTTTTGTTATTATTTTTGAAGCTTTTAAAATATTAGGAGTGTTGGAAGAATACTCTATTATTATTCAAAGCAGAGATAGAATGGAATAACCCTGATATCTAGAATATGCTTTGCACTGAGCTTATATTTTAAAGAAACTGTTCACATGCGAGTAAAGGAATAAGCATAAAAGGCTCTATTGCAGAGCAATAGCACAGATCCAAGATCCTTATGTATTAATGCAATGACAAGTATTACTGGTGTTTTGTGACTACAACCATCTTCTTGGGAGTCAGGTCTCGCCACTGGATTCTGTGGAGAGGATTTCACATGGTGAACACCTCATTCAATCTATGTATTATTTGTCCAAAAGAGGAATTCAAGCTATTGCAGATACTCTCTCAGACGACCAGATCCACCACATATTACATGAAAAAACAGTTGAGCCATTAGGTGCCATGGGTTTTTTCTCTCCTCACCCTTTAAGTGGTTGTTGTTTTTAAAAACAAAGTTCTGAAGCCATCAGATTGCACGGTATATTTTATCAACAGCATCACCACGCAGAGTTGAACACAGTTTGCTCATTTCCATACCATCTGTGCTCCAGTGCAGTTTGAGCACGCTGCATAACCACCACAATGCATTACACTGATGAATACCTAGAGTAGGTGAAGATGACAAGAAACCTGCTGCTTTGTCTAGAAGAGCTCCACAGCCTAAAGCTCCTCACAGATCTAATAATGTTCCTTAGAGCTATTTCTTCATTGAAAAGCAGCAATGCTCCGTGCAAATCCAGCAAATCCAGCTGTAACATCACTGGACACGGGGACATACCCCAAAATTGGAGGCTGCGAAGCGGTCCGAAGCAGACACGTTCGTGGAGGCTGTTGTGTGCGCGTAGTAAGCGTTGATGTTGGCAAGCAAGGTGCTCATCACAGCTGGCACGCCCGGGCACATGTATTTGGAGGAGAGACACGCAAAGTGCCTGCAACAGAGAGGACAGTCCTGGTTGCTCCTGTTTGTTTTTCATTGCACTCTTGCATTTTCTGCCTAGAGTCTCCAGAACCAAATCTCAGCCCACTGTTTCCTCCCCCTTTAACAGCCCCACAGCTCTACATAGCACCCTGTGCAGATGCAAGTTATGCTTGTTCCCTGCTGGCAAGTCTCCAGCACCTTTGAATTTTTCAAAGACACCATCCAACCAACAGATTAAAAACAAGAGCACCTGCTTTACCACAGCTCTTTCCATCCTATGAGACAGCTTCTCAACAACTCATTGATAGCTGGAGTCCCAATGTCAGCCCTAGAAGTCAAGCCTGACTCAAGGAGATAACTATAAATTTTACTGCTCCTTGAGGTAACCAGAGCTCCTGAGGTGACAGGAGGTGGCAGCAATTGCAGAACATTTGGGCCCAGCAGGATCTCCCTGTAGTAGCTGTGTGCGGTGCTGATGCTCCAGTCCTCGGGGCAACCCTTCCATCCTGCAGGAAGCACACGGGCTCGTTTGCATTTTCTCATTTAATTGCAAGGAACCCTCCTGCAGGAAATCTTAAAATTATCCCAGAAGCATTTAGGCTTGTGAAATAATTAAACAATCAAAGAAAATCTGTTAGACACAGGAGAAAAAAAAATCAGAGCTTAGGAAAGCTGATAGGAGAAAAGGCAAATGAAGTTCATTCCAACAAAGAGGATAGTTGGGTAATTTTATAGTAGTTCTCTGTGCAGGAATCCTTACAAACCTCCCAAACTGAATTTGAAAGCAATTTTCTAAATTTAGCTTTCTCCCACAGATATAAGACTTATGATTTTGTGCAAGTTACTCTGCAAATAATTACCAAAAAAAAAAAAATATCCAGGGAGAGGATTCCACACAAAGTGACAAGCCAGTATTTCCCACAGCTGCTAATGCCTCAATGTTAGCTGGCTGACTACATGATACCTGGGTACCAACAGGCCATTCAGGCACATCAGCTGGTTGATAAAGATCAAAAGTTATCAATAAAGGTGCATTGAGAGCTTTTGTGTCGCTCCAGAAGGAAGAGGTTTAAGCTGCAGGAATCTAAGTGATATCTTCAATGATTAACAGACAGGGTAGATTTATCAAGACGATGGAGACAGATACGGTGTCTTAGAGTAAAAAGACAGGCTGCAACATACAGCAGTTGCAGCACGTGATTTTTTTTTCCTAAGTTTTTCTGACTTTTCTGAATGTCTTCCTCAGAAAGTTCCTGCCCTCAGACAAGTGAGGGGTAGTGGTTCTCCATCTTTGGAGATTTTCAGCAAACTGAACCAAAAACGGAGCAACCTGATCCAGTTCCTAAGTTAGCCCTGCTAGAAGCAGGGCAGACAACCTCTACATGTACCTTCCAACCACATCTTTCTTCCAAGCCTACAAAATAATCATGTTCCCCTTTCCAGATGGTTCTCTTTTCATCTTTGAACAAATGTCTCTGACAGACCTATTTTCCAAACACAAACCCTATTTTTACTATTACAAAAATCCTTGAAATAACAATATCCACAATGGGCTGGCAGCCTAACTGCAGCTATTCATGATAAGCTCTGGACAAGAACATCCAGTCATAGAAATTGCTGAAATTAGAGATGCCTGCTTTCTCCTTTGGCTTAAATCAACAGGCAAAAGGGTGCTTGCAAGGAAACACAGTCCAAGGATCTTAGGATGACTCAAAAACCTATTTGAGTGGTGCCTTTTTAGACGTGATCTTCCTTTTTTTTTTTTTTGAAAAAAAAATAGCCTGTTACATTTCTATTACACTTGAAACAAGAAATAAGTGCAGTACTACTTATCTCTAAAAGAAGGGCTAGTAGAGATTTTAGAGTCAAAAACAGCTCAATTATTAAAGTACACTCATTTACACTGAAGTGGTTGGTGTAACCTCTTAGAATTTGTTTTAAAGGTAAGAAGTGATCACACAAATTGCTCAGGTGGATGCCTAATTCCAGCACTTTCAGATACTCATTTCTAGACTCTGGGGAAGGTAGTGATTCAGAGACAGGCAGCCTCGTCCCGCTCACATTAATCCCCCAAAGGAGAAGTTGGCAATGCCAATCCTCTCATTACCAATCAAATATAATATTCAGACTCAAAAAAAAAAAAAAAAAAAAAAAAAGTCCCATCAATTAGTTAGACTGATTATTTGCACTATGGACCACAGAAAAAGCATCTTACGTCATGGCCTGGTATATTGATTCGATGCCGTAACGCATTGCGAATTCATCCACGATCTCTTGAGCCGTCTCATCAAAATAGACCTTCCAGGCATCATCTCCTTTGGCATCAGGGATCTTCACCACCCCATTCCCTTGCACATCTGTGAGATGGTGGAAGAGGTTCTGAAATACAAAACAGGAGCAAGATGGTCTTGTGAAGATGCTGAAGCCTTCAAGTGAGTTGTGCTGTCCAGCTTGGAACTGCCCTGAGGAAGTAGCCACTCAAGGCAAGTTCCCTTCCCCTTCCTCACTATGTACTTCTAAATTTTGACTTTTCTAGAGCGTCACCAGTCAGATTTTTCACATGCATTCCTACTACTTTATGCAGACGTTGTGAATGATACAGGAACAGGAAGGTAACAGACTATGTAGTTTCCCAAAACCCACACATTTCTGTCTTCAGAAAAAAATGACTTAAGCTATTTAAACTAGCTGATGTAACAGCTCTGTATCAGCTTTATAATTATTATTATATAGCAGAGCAGTCTGAAGAGAATTTTTTTCTGGGAAGCAGGACCCTAAATTATCATTATACAGCAAAATTGTCTGAACAGACTTTTTTTTCCCCAAGAAGCAGAACCCTTAACAACCAAACCCTGGTGTTATTATTCATCATAACCTCTCACTTTATCTAGGAGCACTGGAAATGCTTTCATCTATTATTGCTGTGAAGAAATTGCACATTCAGTTCAGTGGGTTTCTCAGTAATCCTCAAACTCATGTCATTTATGGATTCATCAGCCTTTCAGGCAGCTGCCTTCCTGTATAGTCCAGGAATGCAAAAGTCTTATGATCTAATTAGGAGGTATAGGATGTTCCACTGTGCATATAGTGCTTTACACTACTATTTCTTCTGATTATATTATTCTAGGTGTAAGCCACTTTCATTTTATGATGCACAAATAACTCCATCAAAGCAGGTGATGCTTAGAAAGAGATATCTTTTGAAAAAATAAAAATACAAAGAGAAGTGATTATATTAGCTTAGAAGGGAGGAAAAAAAAATAGCTTAAGAAACAGAAACAGCCACTCAATCAAAAACAACGAAAGTTACATACTCAAGGACAGAGATGAACGGCAGTTTTGTTACGCTAAGTCTAATATCTCTCTCCTCCCTGGTAAAGCCTGAAAATGTTACAGGGCCCATCCAGTCAAGTATCTAAACGAACAAGTTGTTCCCGCAGCTGAATGCCTCTCACTGTGGCACATCTGTCTATCTCTTAAACCAAATTTGCCACCAGAGCTTTTGATATTTTTATCCATCAGGCAAAAGGGCTCTCATTACTACTCCCCATGCAGGCACTTAAGAGACTGAACCTGTCACCTGCCTTTTCTGTGGCAAGTACTCTGGGCATTGGAACCTCTTGGACACAGGGTTTTTCCCTTTTTGTCATTCTCACAATTCCTCTTTCTGAATTCCTTCTAACATCTAAAACACTGCCCGCCCAGCTTAGCCAGCTTGAGCCAGCTCAGCACCCCGTGCCCACAGCTTCTTTTCAGTCCCTAATAGTCATTCATAGCTGTACAGCAGTGCAGAGGAGTCTAGGCCACCAAACCTACATTGCTCAATATCCACAGTCCTCACCAGAACTGAGATATAAAGCAGTTGAGGTGGAAAATCCAACTTTTCACATGAATAGTCACTCTGCTAACTTTCTTTAGGCAGGTGAGTTTAACCAGAGTTTTTACTGAAGAAATTAAGAGCTCTTCTCTAAGTCTATTACTTCACAAAATACAGAAAGAATTGGATGTTTTTCTCAGCTGCAAATTCACAGGACACTTGGTCCTGAGCTGCAGCTTTGCAGTTACTCCTAGAGTAACGCCACTCCAAACAGGACAACACAACCAAGCCCAAGTACCAGTTCAGCTTTTCTAAACCATGCAATACTTTGCTGGCCATCCACATGGAGAATGCAGTGATGTGCTGAAACTGTCCCTCAGTATGAGTGATAAGCAATGAGTTTTGCTCAGCAACTGTAACAGCAAGAAACACTTGCAATTATTCACAGAAATGCTGCACATCTGGGACGCTCAAGGTATGAATGAAATGTCTTTTGTTCACATCTTATGGGTAGACTCTCCAATAGAATCTGCTATTTGAGTAGTTTTGCCCTTAAGAAAAAAAAAAAAGGTTTGTTTGTGCTGTACATGCTACAACACTGGCTGAGCTGGGCAGCCTTGTCTGTGGGGCAGACAGCCTAGAGCCTCCTCCACCTCCGCGACAACAGAGGCCTGATGATTCTGCATGTTGCCAGGCCTGTGGTGCCTGGAAAAAAGAATAATTTAGGGTGAGGAAGGACATTTCAAGGACATAAAGGTCAGGAATTTGCTTAGCAGAAAGGAGGAACATGGCAATGACTGAGCAGAAGAGCTGCTTACCTCATGAAGGCAAGTGTACTGGATGTGATACGGAGCCACCTTCTCCTCCCCTTTGATCTCCACGCTGATTTGCAGGCGGATCGCCCCAGACACTGCAGACTTATCCGTTCTCTTCTCTAGAAGGAAAATGCATCAGCAATAGTGTGCATTTTTCACCTATGGAGCACATCTATCTAGGGGTGTCAACACGAGAAGGGGGACTGCTGGAAACTCACACTGAACTTAGGGTCAGAATCAAGGAACCACTGCAGAGGAAACTGTCTATGACTTTGTTTTTCCCTTCTTTTTTTCTTTTCCAAAACATTAAACAGGCCTCAGGAAAACAACTGCCATGATACACTGTCAATATGACACATCTAACCTCCACTATGCACATTTCCAGGCATAAGATAGCCCTTCTGACACCAGCTGTGCTATAGGTCCCTAGGCTCAGACTCAGTCAATTGAACTGGAACTACCAGGGAATACACTGCAAACCTCTCCAGATTAAGGCTTATGTGACAGCAGACGGGAATTCAGCATAGACATCACATGGACAGCTAAGACAGGGTTTTCACCAAGACCAGCATGAAAATGCCATTGTGCCGGGAAGATGTTCAAAGCTCATTTTAAGAAAAAAGTTGATTGATGAGGAATCTTTTCCTGCCTTCACCATAGTCCTGAGGCTCCTGAGAACTGCTGATGCTGTCCCCATCAAGAAAACTGCATCCCCTGGGATTATTGTGCCTGTCAATTCAGCGCCATCTGGTTACACATCATTTTTTTTCCCTTCCAAATCCTATTTTTGCCACTTGAAAAGGGCCTCAACAACTTGCCATCCCAGTGCACCTGCAGACTGGTAAAATCTTTATGTCAGCACAAAACGAAGGGGCACAGGATAGGAAATATTCCTCCAGCATCAGTGGAGTCCAACCCTGTGCCAAGCACTCCCTCACATGACTTTCCAGTGCCTGTAGGGAAATGCTACACTGCACTGCTCCACTTATCAAGCACTTCTCGAGCTGAGACCAAAGACCAAAACTTTGCAGAACATCCACCCTTGAAGTCATCTAGGCTTCCCGATGTTCCCAGACTAACACCTGATTCTTTTTCAATCCCAGAGCCCCACTCACCAAGGTTGTACCACACATCCATCTCTCCGCTCAGCGTACGGACTTCAATGATCGTCTGCCCCAGGAAATCGTCCGACTCACGTTTCAACCTCTGCTTGACACGAGACTTGATGTCATCATCTTCATCCCACACGCGCACCTTGATTCGGTCAGAGGAGTTATGGCACTCGCTGCAAATGAGACGCAAAATCAGAGAATCATTATGGTTGGAAAAGACCTTCAAGGTCATTGAGTCCAACTGTCAGCCTCTCAATATCAACCTGTTAAACCATTTCCCTAAGCACCTCATCTATATGTTTCTTGAAGACTGACAGGGATGGTGACACCACCACGTCCTCGGGCAGTCTCTTCCAATATGATGTTGAAGAACACAGGCTTCCAACAGTATTTTGAAATGCTTTACATTCACTTGGACTTGCTTGTCAAACAGTGGAGGGATGCATAAAAAACAACAAAAAAAATAATAGCCTAGTTAAATGTAAAAAGGTGGCCTTTGAGAGGAAAAGGTTAGTCAGGCTACAAGCACGATGGGATATTTCTCTCTGTGCATATGCAGTGCCTGAGTGAGCAGGGTCCACCTTTATGACAAGGACTCCTCAGGTTCTTTGCTAATAAAAACTTAAGGAGCTTAGGTGGACATAGTTCTTTTACTTCAAGATCCTTACAAAGCAATACTGTGTTAATGTACAATATCTTATAATTGGAGGATACAAACACTGCCTGTGTGTGGGTGGATGTGGTGGGATACAGTAGTTGTAGCAAAGTTGGTATTTAATTACTGGAATCGATGCTGCCTATTGTTCACTGCTCAGACTGATCCTTGCTCTGTGCCACAGGCAGGTTAATAAGGACTTTTCCATCAAAAAAAGAAAAAAAGCAGCTTATTGTTTGCTCAACGTATGCCTTCAACCTAGCGCCCAGGCAGAATTGGCAGCCTCTCTCCTCACGTAGGCGTTCAGACACCTCTTGTAGAGGCAAACAGGCCCCTGGATAGCAGAACTGGGGAGAAGGACCCATCTAATGGGTCCTTCATAGGCCACACGACACCATGAAGCCATTTGAATGCTCACATGAGACGATGACAAAGGTGATTGCGCACCATAACCACTTCAATCATCTGCCCTCAAGGAAATAAAACCTATGAAAACAGGCAACTTGTGCTGCAGGCCTGTTTTCCAGCCTTTTGAACATGCTGAGTGTTGCTAAGCAACAGGAAGACGGCAGAAATGGGTCAGAAAAGCTCTGTTGAGCCTGGTCAATAAGATGCGACAGTGACTGGTATTTGCATGCTCCTTGCCAAGAAGTCTTTTGGGCTCCTACTGCCACTTACGTGATTCAGGACTGCTTAACGGGCACCCAGGCAGCTCTTACAGCTGTTTTTCCAGCCCAAAGGAATACCTTGGGATTATATAGAGAAACTGAGGCATTTCCAGATGGTTCTGACCACTACTCAAGACTGTCCATGCTCCCTTCCTTTTCTTTGAAATGCAGGAATATTGAAAAATTAAGAAGAAAGAAGATTCAATGTTTCTCTCCTGCCTTTTCTTCTTCCCTTCCTCCACATCAAGGATATTCTCCTTCAACAGCAAACAGTCGCATGCAGGGAATGCTTGGATGGCTGGTCCCTCTGCAACGCTCAAACTTATCCAACACCATTGCCATGTCTACAGGCAACACAGCACAAGCCCGTAAATCCTCTGCTCCCGGAGCACTGTGCTAACAGACATTTTGGCAGCACTTCAAGAGGTTCAGCATTCAGAAACACATGGGTGACTAAAGACACAGCCTGGCACACAGTGGTGTTTACAAAGAACTGCTGACTCCTCCAGACCTCACCTTCTGGTGCTCCAGTTCTTCATTAAGACAGCTTTGATTTCAGTTCTTGGCTATCACTAGTCAAAACTTTACTCCTTCAGTCAAGGAAGTTTAAGGTGTCCGGATATAAATCTGCTTTAGTTGTTGCTGTATGCACGTCCCATGGTCCTGGAAGGACTGACTGCTGCCCTCCACCTGGCCACAGCAGCACAACTCACTGCTAAGGGCCACAGGAAACTTTTAAGCAGCACTTACTACGGAAGTTTCTGCTTTAACATGCCTTTCTTTGCCATTTTTAAGAGACTTCTCAATTCATATTCCTTATGCTGTTCCCATGCCAGAGAAAACCTTATCACTGTTACACAGCAAATTAAAACTGTAGGCTGGTGGCTTACCCTTCCAACATCATCATTTATGTGTCTGTAGGAACCATAGTCCTTGTTTTCATTTAAGAAAAACATTTGTGACAACATCAGGGCACCTTCCGCACAGCATCCCAAACCAAAAGCACAAACATATGGGGGGTTCAGGCTTGTTAATTGATAACAGGCTTGATAACTAATGAAATATGTTAGGTTCCAATCTGTCAGAATGACAATGACTCAACAAGACTTGCTGCAAACTTCCCATGCTATAACACAGGAGTGGTTGTAGGAGCTATGGACCTCCCAAGGTCTCGTTCTGCAGACTCACACCCTATCCACACTCTTTACATCCAGCTTTTCTGCCATTTGCCTCTTAATGACGCTAATAATTTAGGTCTTGGCAATCCAGCTCCAATTTTCCACACACACATGAATGCAGAAACTTAGACCTAAGAATAAGAACTCTGTCCATTTGTAAAATTTGATAGAAGCTGCCCCAAAAGTCATCAGGAGTCTAGGAGAGAACATAGCATATCACTCTTCTCAAGAAAGTGGGGAGAAAAAATTGTCTAAAAAGGACCAGAACAAGACTTTCAAACCAGTGATATGTACTCTGAGATACTGAAGGGAGAAAGAGAAGGGAATAAAAAAAAAGACAGTTGTGCTGAATTTGTTAATCAGTTGGTGCTTGTCCAACAATCTTTGCAGGATCGCTACTGAATCTCTGCACTGCAGGAGTACTAATGCCAAATGGAGTCATGCATCAAAGTTCTACCTAAACACCAAGTTTGTAAAGTTCTCCAAAAAGAGCTATCAAGGCACGCTTATGAAACTGTGTCCCCTGCAGGTCACAAATGATAAGCTGAATTACAATCAAGAGAGTGAATTTAGACTGTGGAGAGTGCCACGAAGGAAACTCAAACCTGGCGCTATTAGTTCACTCTGATGATTCTAAAAGATTTCATTTTACAAGAACAACAACAGAGTCGGGTAATAACCATAGGGCTTTTCCAGTTCCTTCTGTACCACATCCACACAGACATGTATTCTCAAACCACTTCTCATCTCAGGAAGCATGTTAGCAACAAATTAAACTGTCAGGATACCTTAAACCATTGATTTCAATCCACTAATGCTGCGGTGAGCCTTCCTCCTACAACATGCATTGCACAGATTGGAGATGCCAACACAACCCTACCACTCAACATGCCCCTTTCACATAAGGAAGTATCTTTAAATCATGTTCTTTTCTTATATTTGCTGTCTGAAGAACAGAAAAGCCCAGAGGTCCACAGAACCCCTACCTTGCAGAGCTGACAGCCTAATAAAGACAAAAAACAACAAGTAGACATAGCAAGAACAAACAATTGAAGTGAAGGAGCAACAGTATTTTGTAGATTTGAAAGTAGGTCAGTCAAACTCAGAATTAAGTAGCTTTGCTGTGCTCTGATATTAAAATAAATATTTATGTCCAGAGCATCTAAAGACTATTTCTACAGCCATGTGCTGTCAGCAGTTTCCATTCTGGATCATGGCAGAGGCTTCTTGAGGAAGGCCTGTAAAGTTTCACAGTTCGGAGGAGCAGGGGACAGGTCATGCAATACTAGAAACACAGAAAAAGGCATAAAAAAGGAGCTCTTCCTTCTTGCAGGAAGAGGAGGTGGGAGTGCAGGAGGTGGCAAAATGCACAGGAGAGAAGTGCAGAGCAGCAGCAGTTCAGGACTTGTCATCATTTCAGTTTCTGAGGAACAAAGCTACAAAAAAAAAAAAAGCAAAGCAGATTTCTAGAAAAACAAAAAGAAAGGGGAAGTTGTACCAACCAATATGAGGCGAAAAGCAGCCAATAAGCAGTTGTAAAAATAGAGAGCAGAAAAAAAAATTGACTTTGGGAAATTATTTGGGGTGAAAAAAAAAAAAAAGATACATGATTTGGATGTGGTTCAAACAGCAGCACCTTGAAATGGCAGAGCCCTATTTGCAAGTCTGCTACAGCCAGCTTCAATAGGAAAGGAAGAATAGAAACAGAAAGCTAGAGTCCAATAAAAGACTTCTGTGGACTGGTTAATTTTAAAATAATGCCAAGACTCCTCTATCAGGGCAGAGGAGACACCAGAGGAGCCACTGAAGGCAAATTGAGAGAGGCAAGAGAACCAGGATAAAATCTGGAGCTGCTCACAAGTTAAACGTGACCACACAGGCGTATGCCCTGAGATCCAGCTGTTCCTGTCTAAAAAGAAAGAAATGAGTTTTCTGTTCTTACAAGCATGAAGTTCTTTTCCTGGGGGAACAAGTACAATCATTCTGCTGTTCCCCAACGCTACAGCACTGACTGCACAAATTAATCGTGCAGCTCTCCAAACTACAAAGAGCAGATAGAGAGATTCGGAGCGTTACAGCTTTAGCTCCGTTAACTCAGTTTCCCAATGGGTGCCTGCTGCGAGGCATCACCTCCGCACTCAAATACAGGTTTCGCATTGGCAGGGAAACAAGCAGGATTTTATCGCACTGCCAGTTTCATTAGCTGTAGTGCCCGGAGAATCAGGAAAGCAAGAGAGCCTGCACGGCCCTCGCCACGCAGCGAGCCGGGGCGTTCAGTAAAGCCTTTCGGTGACATTTATAAACACAGTGGTCTCAGAAAGGGCAGTCTTAAAATCAGCTTCGGAGCAGTCGCATGTAATCACAGCTTAGTGAAAGATGCTGAGCTTGGTAACGGGCTCAGCTGCTGGAAGAAAGATTGCAGAATCAAATAAGGTTTCAGGCGACAACCCCATGGTTAGCTATGTGGTAGGTCCATTCCTAGTAGTTTAACAGGACTATGTATCATCTGTGTCTCTGCATGTCCTAAAAAAATATTGGTTATCTGCTAGCAGGAGGTGCTGCATTTATTTTAACTCAGTTACTCCCTCACAATGAGAGAATAAACCTACTTTTTACAAACTGTCCAGTGACGGCACAATCTGTTCCAGGCAATGGTTTCACACCCACCATTCACAGCTTCAGACACAGCTGCATTCAGACAAGACAACTTCCATGGGATAATATCTTAAAATGAACAAGTCATTCGGCATCTAGGCCAAGAAGCCCTGCACAGTCCTGTTGGAACCCATGCTCTTAAGTCTAAATTGCAGTGAAAAGATATAAAAATCTCACTGTAACAGGATGTAACTATACCAAGAGATAATTTTCAGAAAGAAACAAGATCTGCAAATTACTTGCTCAGACAACATGAATTTGCTCCAAGATTCATTAATCTAAGCAGACACCTGTAGTGACATAGGCTGGTCGTAACCTAAATAACGCAAACTCAAAGTCTTTTAAATCTTGTCTTTTCTAAAATACAGCTCTAAATTTGGATTTCCAAATTGGGTCAAACTGGCCACGTTATTTTTTCTCAAGATATGTAGAAGAGCAAGTCATTTTTAAGGAGGAGTATTTAAACTAATGTATTTTTCCACCTATCAACATAAATAAGCATAGAAGAACTATTTGAAATAGGTTATGGCCACCTTAAACCAGTTTTAATATTAAAAAAACTTTACTGAGCCTGTAGAAAATATTACAGTACTGTAAGAAGTATTATAGACTGTCTCAGTTCATGGTATGGATTACAACATCAACCCTATAATGACTGATACAGTCAGGTTTCTAGCTCTGAATTCAGCCTCTGAGAGGCCACTTGTGATCAGTCATAAATACAAGGGGTACCTAAGGAATACCAGTTACAGACACAACTGTCCAACAAGGCAAAAGAGGAATAACTACTAACCCATGTATTTATCATTGCCCTGACCTCCGTCTTGGGTATCTTGCACCACTTCAAACATTTAATTCTTCTGAACACCAAACTTCTTGCTTCTATCTCAGGGGAGGCTTTTAGTAACTATTACCACTCCCTTCTCCCACCATGATAAATTATGCCTGAAAACCAAACCAAAAACCCTCCACAATTTCTTGTTTGTTCTGATGATCTCTTCTAATAACAAAAATAAAAATAAAGCCAACTTGGTAAGTAACGAGTATATTTTTGGCCAGCATATGTTGACTTAAGTTTCCATTTGATTAAGGGAGGAGATCACAGTAATTTTAAAATCAAGCTGAACAAAAGAAAGAGGGACTTATAAAAGACCTGCCATGCATACGCTAACTAAATGACTCTCCTTATCTTCCATAAGGTGAGTTCTGACGTCCATTAATGAAATGACACATTGATTCCGGCGCTGAACGCTCTCCAGCCATCGATCCGGGTACCAGGCTCATTTCCTTCACCTCCTCCTGCTACTCTCAAGGCAATTAAAACACCCACCCAGACACGGACAAGATATAAAGCAGCATCAACTGCAATGCCCAACAGCATATTATCTACTGAATTGCAGACACAGCCATAAAACCCATATTGTGGCACCAGGAAAACTGTGACGTTTATCGTGTTGTGCTATCTATGTTTAAACACAGGATTTGTTGAGTTTCCTAAAATTAGAAGGGAACGCACTACAAATGCCATGGTAACTACTTGGCATGGTAAATCAAGGTCCCTAAGGCTCCCACACAGATTCTCTGCTCTGGTGGCTAGAGCTGTCCTAATGGCACCTAAGCCTACTTACTATTTATCAAGTAGTAACGTTACCCTGGATTAAAATAACAATATAAAGCCAAGGCCTGAGCAGCTCAAAATAGAACTGAGACTTCTCTGATGTTAATGAGGTGCTCAAAACTACTTCAAAAATAATTTTGTTTGCACTGTGCATTGAACAAACGTGGACAAAAATCAAACAAATCAAACAAAAGTTTGATTTTAAACATAAACAGAAATTTCAGCTTTCAGGGAGAACTTGTCGCCAACTAGTTTAGGGAAAAAAATTGAGAAGTACAACAGAACTGACGTACTGAAGGAATGACGTACTGAGGGAAATAAAGATGGGTGCAACAGATTAGCCATAATCTTCAGAAGCTTCTTGCTTCTTTGGTTTCATGTGTCCATTTTGAATTATTGAACAAGTTTAATGCTGTGGTCCAATGATAAATTCATGGTTTTATTTACTTATTCATTAAAAGTCTGACAAAATAAAATGTTTTTGGCCTTCTGCACTTACCTGATAGTTAAGAAAATTGCACTTCCAGCTTTTTTTTTTTTTTTTTTTTTTTTAAGACATCGATATATTTCTCATTTCAAAGCAGATAATTCCTCATATTATTACTATACCGGTTTTCCGGGGAGACCAGTAGCTCCATAGACAAGTGACAGAGAAGCATGCAGCTCCAAGCTCACAAATTAAGTGAAACACCAAAACAAGCAGTAGGTCACAGGGAGCTCATGTAATCTTTTACACAAACTTCACTCTTTTGTATTTCAGAGAATTTTTAAAGTACATCTATTATCCATGAGCAAGAATCTTCTAGTTAAAGATTTTCCTTTCTCTTTAGCTTTCTCTAGAAACATCAATATAAAAAGCAATCACAATGCAGATGATTTTTTAGATACATATCAGTGGAAAATACAAGGCAGGTGTGCAGTACACATTGCAGACATCAACCCTCTAGACATACACACTACGTCAGTCAAGGACAACGAAATATGTGATTAAGTGGTGTGGGAAGGCATGCTGATACACAGATGTAAGTGTAGAAGTACAGATTGTACTGAAAAGCAGAAAATGAGTGAGAGCCTTTGGTAGAGCACTTACAAATAAAACTTCTCTTCCCAAACAGGATTCAGGTTCCCAAAAATTGTTTTTGTCCTCTTCTTTGTTTTGCCCACTTGAACGGTTACATATGGATCGCTGGACCCAGTCTTGTCTTTGGCCTGCAGACCCTGAGCACACACCACTGCAAAGAAAGGAAAATTGTTAACCATTGCCCTCCAGTAAGAGGACATGTCCACGTACCACACGAAGCAACCTACAGAAAGAGGAATACTGTTTCTGATGAGCCTCAGTTCATGATGCATTACAGCATCTGGGGTAGGAAGTACATCTCCAACTGCTTCCTACACACTGACTAGAAAGAGATATAGAAAATGAGGAGCAGATGCTCTTCCTCTCCATTCCCTCAAACTTCACCCCAACTCCCTCATAGCTCAGGCTCCCAAGTGAGGCCAAGGGAATCCATGCCTCCTCCCACTCACCTGTGATCGTGATCTTTGCTGACCATTTTGAGGTGCCATCAAGCACACTCTGCTTCACTGTCTTCATCTGCTGAGCATGTGTCAGCTTGCTCTCACAGAACACATCTCTGATCAAATCAAAAATCTCTGGCTTGTTCCGCTCTCGGATCTTCATGCGATCCTTCATGGCCATGATGAAATTCTGGGTTCGGTCTTCTGCCCCATGCTTTGAGCTCTTCTCTGCTGCTCCTGGGCACCAGAAAGTACAAAACATTCCTCAGAAACATGCAAAAACAGGAAGCCGTGTGCCACTGTATCTGGACAGCAAGATCATGAGGTACCTGCACACAATGCTCCTTGCTATTGACACTTGCAGTCAGACACCCAATTTCAACACTCGCCCGAGAGAATCCAGACCACTCAGAAATGGGAAGGGGTAATGGAAGAGGGATTCCCAGACTACTCTCTGATCTGGACCAGAACTGTCTTTCTCTCAGGGGCTTAGGTTCAAAATAACCAAGAAAGACCCAGAAATTAGGTTCTCATTGCAACAGCAGCCGCTAGTATGTTCCCTCCCCTCATGACTTATTTATTAAAAACTCTGCTTGGGGAACGGGCAAGAAAATGATGGACATCCTTCATTCTTAATAGCACCTATGAGCTTGTCTCCAGGCTTCACCTAAGAACCAGGGAAGAGCAACAGTTCAGATGGACCCAGGAGCACAGCATTTCCCGCACTGATTTGCTCCACACAGACTCACTGCCCAGCATATGCCCAATTCTTCTCCCTCGAACTATCCTGCTTGGATTAGAGATTAAGTTGGAGGCATGTAAAGCACCTCCCTGGATGCTACTCTCTAATTTATCAAGCTA